TATGTCTCCAACTTTTTTTTGGAGGGCATTCGGTAGTTGAAGTTTGGCATAGAGCATCTGTAAGAAATGGCAGGTAGTGACATTCTACACAATGCCTAGTCAAGAATAGCATATAATACTTTTGAAAATACTTAGAAGAAATACATTTGTGGAATTAGTATTATACTAACTAATAATCAAATAAAAAGTTTATATACTCTCGTACAAATCATATATTTGTCTTGAAACCTTTGGTTCGAAGCAGCATCGGTACTTTCCAATGGTAAGAGGACCATTCTCGGTTTTGAGAATGAAGTTCATCGGCTTATTCCGACGTTATCAATTTCGCCAACAATTTTGATTTTTTTACATAGTGTAGATTGAAATGTGACATTTTGAATATTTAAGATTTAATTATATGGTAATATTTTTTATTTCTTTCATAAAACAAATATTAGCAAACCCCCACCGTCGTTATTAAAAACAGAGGGCTATTGACATTGGTGTGGGGTTCGCTATAATAAAAAATATTTTCATAATTAATGTAATGTAATGTAACAATGTAAAAAAAATCAAAATTGTTGGTGACATTGATAATGCTGAAATATATTTTACGTCGAAATGAGCCGATGAACTTCATTCTCCAAACCGAGAATGGTCCTTATTGTTCAACAAAAACATTTTAAAGGTCCCTGGCATCCCATAAAACCTCTGTTACCAGATGATTGAAATGGTATGGTACATTTATTCAATACTTTGTTAACCAGAAAATTTTACATAAATCTGCAACTGATATTAACATCTCAAATCCATTATTAAACACAAGGCAATTAGAAGATGGTGGTATATTGAAGTACAGTAAGATAAGTCTTAGCTATCCGATCTTTGCACGCCGTCTTCACTGCGACCGACGGGAGTTGAATGAACAAAGATGGCATCCAGGATCCTGTAAAAGTGTTCAAATTGACATGCAGTTGGGTGTTTACATTTTGACGCTTTTAATAACATGGAAAGCCATGGCAAAAAGTGTTCACATTGAGAGGTGTTCAGATTAGACTAGATACAGGTTATACATATAAACATCCAGCTGGTATTCAAAGATGCGCTTCTCAAATGAGGTCTTTAACAATTATTCTTGTATATATTTCCCCTGGGAGGAGTGAGTGTTTTGTAAACATGCACAGAGGTGCTATAGCTGTATAGCTACATTGTAAAATGAACAGTATGAGCTTAAGTTAACATTCCCTTACAAAATTGATTGTAAATTATCCGGAAAGAAAAGAAACCATGAAATGATCATAGATTGGAAGGCCAATTGCACACGTTACTTGCATTTTTTCACCCCCTTTAGATCTAATTTTGAATGGGGGGGGGGGTACTCGATCCTGGCCTTTAGGTTTTAAATGGTCATAGAAAAGACCTTCTTTTTTTGTAAGAGATATCAAAAGAATGATCTTCATATGATTATTTGTGAAATATTTTGTAAGAGTATATGCTAGGAATATTGCATGGGAATCTGCCTAAAAATAGATAATTGTAATTTTGAAGATTATGTTGACCCGTTTAGGTCTAATCATATCAACATTGTAGAAGTTATAGTTCAATGCCATTTAGGCAGGGTGCTATATTATCAGGCCCTATTGGTAGCCAGCTTTTGCCAAGGGGGGTTCACTTTTAAAAAATCCCATATTGGGTTCACTTTTGACAACTTTGGCCCAAAATGACCAAAATCACTTGGGAAGTGCTCAGAATACTAGTAGTGAGAAACAACATGATTTTGAAATAATTTTGAGCCGGGAGGTGGGGGAGGGGCACTAATGGCCTGCTTTCAAAAAATTCTACTTATAATGCTTGCTTGCCTGATTTAAAGATTTGAGAGATGAACACAGGGCGGGGGAGGGGGCACTTGGTCTACATGATTTTGAAAGAATTTTGGGCTGGGAGGGAGGGGCACAATGGCCTCCTTCCAAAAAGTAAATTCTACTTACAAAACTTGATTGGCTGATTTAAAGGTCCATCCATGATTTGAGAGTCCATGCATGATGAACACAGGGCGGGAAGGGGCCACTGGGTCTTATGTCTAGTCTGACAACTTGTAAAGTTCAAGAAACGTGATATTTACATGATGTTAGTCTTGTTTATGCAATAAAGTAATTCATAGAAAACAGGAACACGTTCAGTTTTTGAAGGCAACCTAAATAAGATCTCATCTTCCTTATTATATGCACAAGAATAGATTAGTGGTGTATTAACTTAGTATACAGTTAAACTGGTCTCAGTGAACATATTTCTTTAGCGAACATCTCTCAAATTAACAGCTGTAACTGATGACTCTCTTGAACACTTTTCTTCTTGTCCCTGTGAACAGTATTCTGGATCATTTTCTATTAGGTTCTTTATTGTAAGTTTGGGAATCTCTATCGTGAACATGTACTTACAGTTTTTTTTGTTGTTCCATACATATTATATGTACACATTCAGGTTTTACTTTACTTTTATACTTCCATACTATACAGACATAGGGATGCAGGGATTTCATTAGAATTTCTCACAATAAGCTAAATAAATGAAAACAACAGGCAAAATTAATGGAAATCATAAAAACCTGGAATACTTGTTGAAAAGTCCCTAAGAACAACAGGCAATTTTGTGAAAAAAAACTGTTTATAATCGCCTGTTGCCAGCTGCCAATGAAACCCCTGGGGATGTATTCAAATTTATCAGTCCCTCTCTCTCTAATGCTAGCAAGGATAGTACAGGCTCAGGCATGGATTTATAAAAATTATTTAAACATCTACGAGGGTTGATCATAAAGTTCTCATAATATCTCTCTAATTTCTTTATTTTTCAATATTTTCCTATGAAATTTTCACAGAATGTGCAGCATGAAATGTCTTATTATTCTAGCAAAAAAGATTTAGAATAACAGAAACATCAAATAAGAAATGGTTGCCATAGTAACTTGAAATCAAGGCACCCGGGGCAAATAAAAAAACTAGCTAGAATAGCCCCCATTAACCATGTTTAAATACATAATAAGTTGTCAAATAAGCTATCAAACACATTAAATTGTCAAATAATATGTTCTCTTGATCGGTGTGAACTATTATAATGGTCATGTGGATTGTGTGATCTCATAATGGATGATTGTTATGCTTCATTAGAAGTGACTGTTAGACCCCATGACTGTTTTGTCAAATATCCCGAGGAAAAATGATTTTGCCCCTTTAGTTCAATTTTAACATATACAGACCACACACAAAGTGTAATTTTGTTGATATCTAGCAATATATTTGTTTTAGATCATGTTTAGTCTGACCAAAGGATCTTACAAACTTAACATAACATTTTATCAGTATGAATTTTATTTTTCTGAAGATCTCTGCATCCATTGAATTCTCTTACTCAGTCATTTCTGATCATTAGCTTTGAGTCTCAGACTGTATCACATCTAATGAAGCATGAAATCATCCCCTATGGCATCACACAATTTACACGATCGATTTATATCATTGTTAAAGCACTTAACAACATATCCAAGTTAACATTTTAACGTGTTTGGTAATTCATGAGAGAGTTTATTATGTATGCAAACATGGTTAATTAAGCTCATTCTCTCAATTATTTTTATTTGCCCCGGGTGCCTTGATTTCCCGTTACTATGGCAACCATGTCTTATTAAATATTTCTGTTGAACTAAATATTTTTTGCTGAATTAATAAGGCATTCTATGCTGCACAATCTGTGAAAATTTCATGAGAATATATTGAAAAACAAAGAAATTAGAGAGATATTATGAGAACTTTATGATCAACCCTCGTATATTGTCTCCTTGTCAGAAGGGGATTCCAAACTATGAATTTTCTATTTACTGGAAGCTTGGGATTAGTCCGACCCATTCTTAAAGTTTTGATTCCCTCGTTTATTTTCACCATGCTCCTTTGTACAAAATGTAGAAATTGATATTTTTGTACTTTGCACTGTTTCATTTTCATGTGTACTTCTGATATTCTGTTTAAGTGCTTGATAATTTATTGTTTTTATTCTATTTTGTGTGCACATCCCAGTATTTTTGTCACTGGTAAAAATCAATATTATGGAAATTTTGACAGATGTAGGATCCGTACTAGTCTTCTTCAATGAGTTATTCGAATGTCTAAGACAAACTTGTTCATTTTGACCAAGATATGTGTGGTTTCCGTATTGTATAGTTTTCATCAGTTTTAGAATTACAATGTTATAAATGACACCTTCTCCATCTCTTAGATCTCTCTGGACATTTACAATGCAACATAATTTGTTCTCATAAACTTTTATCATACATTGTTTATTTATAACGTGATTACTTCATTTATGGAGATGCTTAAAACCAGACAGAATGGATACTAATACTGATTGAACACAGCTATCATTTGAGACAATACATGGAAAATTTATCTCTCTACATAAATCGTCGCGTGAGAATAACTTTGTACTAACTGCCATTTTCAAAAAAATTGAGATAGACATGGAATTTTACTATTTGAAACACAGGCTTTCATCTCAGATACATGCCCCATCTCAATTCCCTCTCATTAAGCTAGAATTCAGTGTGAAATTGTACCATCTCCAGACAAACAGCTTATTTCTAATTTCAAATTGTCATATCTGATATCAACTGTTTCAACCAATCAACTCTCTAAGAATTGGTCATGTGACTTGCAAAACTTGGAGTTATAACAATCTTATAACAATCTTATGAGAAATGCCTTACCATAACTGCAACATCAGATCAAGAAATCGTACCTTATGTTCTGTGTATATGCATCATTTTATAGAAATATGTACAGTAAAACGTGTACATCCAAACACCTCTCTAATCTGAAAACCTCTCAATATTTATTCCAAAAAAACTCGAAATGTGAACACCTGCCAATTCGAACACTTTTGGCCAATCCCTGTGGTGTTTGGATATATCAGGTTTTTCAGTACTCAAACTGTTTTTATCACTTGTTTTAATATAAACTTTCTTGTATTTCCAGTACGAGATGAACAGTATCGAAAACAAAATCAAACAAATAGAATCAGATCTCCAACGGAATCATAAAACAATAAATCTCATAAAAGATGCTGTTCGTGACATCGCGGATGGCGATTCATCTAGTCTAAATAAGCTAAAAGATGTGATAAAAACTGTAGATATAGGATTTAAAAATAAAGGTGATGTTATACATATGGGGCAGGGAGCTGGTGGTAAGATAAACCATCCAATCATTAAAAAAGAGGACATTAAGATCGCTCAGGGGATGTGCACTTTAGCAGATGCACCCGAAACAAAAACAGATGTACAGGTATGTGTATCAAATGTATTTATATGGTTTGCAGAGGTGAGTTTCCAAATTGTAGTTGGTGTATATGTTATCTGAATGATTTTGTTAACTGAATTCTAAATTTTTGTTAACTTTTTGTTTATATCAAGAAACATCCAAAACTGCTCATATGAAAATACATGAATAGATTTTCAATAATTTTCCAATTTGGATTCACTTTCAGGTATTTAAATCTATCATGTAGTGCTATAAATGTTACTTTATTCTTGCTGCGCTCCCTCGGTCAATATCATATTACCCTTCGGTCAATATCATATTGTCCCTCGGAATAAAACCCATATTCAGTCCCTCCCAGTAAATAACCTTTTGTATTTTTCAGATGCTTGATGCATTTAAAATTATTCCATTTGATAACCCAGATGGGGGTGTTTGGAAACAGGGGTACCCTATAGACTATAGTGTTCTTCAGTGGCAAGATAAACCATTAAAAGTGTTTGTAGTACCACATTCTCATACAGATCCAGGTAAATATGGGTGTTAGGAAATGGGTTAGGAGGTGGGAAGGTGTTCCACTTTTAGAAAATGGGCTGGGAGATGGGAAGTTGTTCCACTTTTAGAAAATGGGCTGGGAGATGGGACGTTGTTCCACTTTACATGTTTCACTGTCAATGTTATTTTGATGATTAACATGTATTTTATTTATAAAAATGTAGTTCATAAATTCCAATTTTCAATTTATTCCTTAATCGCATAATTATACAAAGAAATAAAGGTAATCGGGATAATGGACGACATTATTTCACATGTTTATGCCCATCATAAAAATCATATATGATTATTAAGAACTCTGAGGCTAAAGTCAAGGAATTATCAAACATGTCAAGATTGAGTTTTGTCTAAAAGATGTTTAACATGAACTTCATAATTAACTATTATAATTAACATGTATTTTATAATTAATATGTATTTTACAATTAATATGTATTTTATAATTAACATGTATTTTTATTCAGACTCAATGACTTTTACCAACTGTCAATACAAAAGTCTATATCCAAATAAAAAGCACATGATTAAAGATGAGTGCCTAAGACAAGCAATACAAAGAAAAATAATACAAACAAAATACAATTCTTCGATTTCAGGATGGATCAAAACATTTGATAAATATTATTCTGACCAAACTCGACACATTCTTAATAATATGGTTGATAAGCTAGAAGCCGATTCAACCAGAAAGTTTATGTACGCAGAGATATCGTTCTTCTCTCTGTGGTGGAGTCAGATCAATGAGAATACAAGAGAGAGAGTAAAAAAGTAAGTAAATGTAATAGCTGTGTAGTAATTGTACTAAATATAATTAATATACAGTAATTGTAGTAAATATGAGTAAAAAGTAAGTTAATGTAATAACTGTGTAGTAATTGTACTTAATCTGATTGATATGCAGTAATTGTAACAAATAGAGTAATAAGTAAGTGAATGTAATAACTGTGTAGTAATTGTAACAAACAGAGTAAAATATGAGTAAATGTATTTACTGTATAGTAAATGTAGCAAGTGCATGTAGAGTAAAAAGTAAGTAATTGTATTTAGTAGTTGTAATTAAATAGTAACAAGATGAAAAGATTTAGTAAATCTAAGAACTATATAAATATATATAAATGTAGCAAAAGGTAAAATTACAATTACTGTTGTATAGTAATTGTAGTAGATCAAGTTTACTTCACCTTAAAATTTCTGATTTATTAAAATCTTATTTGTGTTACAGATTAATATCAAATGGTCAATTTGAGATCATCACTGGTGGTTGGGTTATGAATGACGAAGCAACAACGCATTACTTTGCCATGATTGACCAACTCATAGAGGGCCACCAATGGGTGGAAAATCAGATAGGTATGCCAAATTTGGGGTCACAAGATGCATGGATTTTAAATCGCAGCTGCCTACCAAGACTGGCTATAGCAATTTTATAAAGTCTAGTTGAGTTATTTTTTATTTAATCATCGTAAATCATGTTTGGTTAATTGGTTGAATAAAACCACATTAAATAATTGAAGTTATTGAAATAGGTAAATAAAAATGGTGGGAATTGGTGGGAAAAGACAAGATTATTTTAAAGGTACAAATTAGGCCTAAAATATGAGATATTTGGGGTTAGTGAAATTGTAAGGTAATACAGATATTCCTGCCCCCCCCCTCCTTAGCTATAACGTGACCAATAGTCGAATTGTTTGATTTTTTCAGGTGTAAAACCAAAAAGTGGATGGGCAATCGACCCATTTGGGCACACTCCCACTATGGCATATTTGCTTAAAAAGATGGGGCTTTCAAATATGCTGATTCAGAGAGTCCATTATTCTGTTAAGAAGTACCTAGCCCAGCGTAAACAGTTAGAATTTATGTGGAGACAAAACTGGGGTGAGTTGAATGAAAGTTTAAATGTGTAATCTTAACAACAGAGAGCTTTTCAGCCAAACTTATACTGCAACTCTAACTTTTTGAACTCCACTTGGGAGGAAGGTTTCACAAAGAAACCAAAAAGTATATTTCATTTGAAAAATTTTCCTCTTCCTAATCGAGGGAATTTTGAGTATCCCATCAATGGCAGAATTAATTTCGAAGTTGTAATCATATATTGAAAGCGGAAGTCACTAACTACATACTTGCCTACGTACTCAATGTAGTCTTCTACAAATAAGTGGTATTGATACCTATATGATACCTATATACCTATTAAGAACTTGCAGGTTAACTTTTTGCTAGAAATTCAAATGGCCACCTTATGATTTATCAAGCATGGCTATTAAATTGTGTTTCAGACCAAAATGGGGTAAATGACATGTTTTGCCATATGATGCCTTTCTACAGTTATGACGTCCCCCATACGTGCGGTCCTGACCCAAAGATCTGCTGTCAATTTGATTTCAAACGCCTCCCCGGGGGAAAAATTAGCTGCCCCTGGAAAATCCCCCCAGTGCCTATCACCCCTGCTAATGTAGCACAAAAGTAAGTAATTTCTTCTGATTTACTTTAAAATCTCAGTAAATCAGAAAACAACTCCCAATGTGAACACTTTTTCTTGGTTCCAATCTCCCATTGATGAACATATTAAGAAACCTTGAAATGTAAGCTTCTGCCAATTTGAATACTTTTGGCTTGCTCCAGTGGCATTTGGATTAGGCAGGTTTTATGATTAACATACATAAAAGTTTGGAGCTTCACTGAAGTTAGTCATGTCAAAGTTTGTGATTCCAAATGAACTGCAATGTCTTAGATTGTGACATTGCTACATATTTATTATCATTTGAGAATAAGATTTTTAAAATAAAATAAGCACCAAAATGAGCAGAAATACAGTATTTTTTTCTTTACTTTTGACATAATAAGCAACATAGCTAGCCATATTCATAATGTGTGATAAAACCAATATTTTGTACAATGTGTGTTAAACCAATATTTTGTACAATGTGTGTTAAACCAATATTTTGTACAATGTGTGTTAAATCAATATTTTGTACAATGTGTGTTAAACCAATATTTTGTACAATGTGTGTTAGATCAATATTTTGTACAATGTGTGTTAAATTAATATTTTGTACAGAGCTGCCGTTATCTTAGACCAATGGCGTAAAAAATCAACTTTGTACCAAAATGAGGTTGTGCTCGTGCCCCTGGGGAGTGATTTCCGATGGGACACCCATATGGAATGGGAACGTCAGTGCGGGAATTACAAGCAACTATTTGATTATATGAACAATAAATCTGACTGGAATGTACAGGTTGTTAAATATGGAGAATTCTGAATGGAGGGTTGTTTATTATTAAAATGCAAAATCAAGTTGAACAAGTGATGATTTATGTTGCCTTTGAATTCTTTTTGGACCATTGTTGCCCATAGCGGCCTAAAGACTTAGGCAGTTCTGGCAAGAATTACCAAAAATGAAGACATTCTAACATTTTTGAAAGAAAACTTGTTCATGAATGGGTTAAAGTACTAGGTCTTCCGGGGATTGTGTCTCTTTTTGGTAAAATTTGATTACCTGATTGAGATGTACAATTTATATAAGACACTCGTGGTGCAAATTCTAAAAAGTTACTGAATGAAACAATCATGGTTTTTGTCTCCAGGTTGCATTTTTCAACTTTGCACTAATCGGGACTTTTTTAGGGTTATTAATGTTGATTTCTTTGGTTTTAGAGCCGAGGTTTTATTGGACCAATGGCGAAAAAAGTCCATGCTTTACCAAAATAACGTTGTCCTAATCCCACTTGGCGATGATTTCCGCTATGACAAGCCAATAGAATGGGACCAACAATTCGACAATTATAAGACTTTGTTTAATTACATGAACGGCAAGAAAGTGTGGAATGTTCAGGTTTGTTATGTTTTTTATGGGTCTTTTTATGGTCACGCCCGGTGATCGTGAATATGGGACGGAGGGGGGGAGCAGGCAATTTCTGCTAGGAAATTCAACAAATCTGGAAGATTTATTTTTTCAAGAAAAAGTTTACCATTGCATTGCCAAATGGATAGGCGCACGGTATGGTAGAATATGTTAGGTTTTCTGGGATTTTTTCTGAAACGATACGCATCTAAGGTATGAGATCTATTAAAAAAGGCGCAAGGCCATCAACAGGCACAAATCAACGTTTTTGCTATAAATCAAGCAACAATGGTCTGGACGACCTGTAATAAATACTTTTAAGTGATGTTATCATAACTAAATTAATGTCATTGCTGAATTTATAAAATAAGTTTCCATATGTGAAATAAAAAATAATCGAAAATAATGAATTTGGGACGGAGGGGGGGAGGGGACGGAGGGGGGGAGCAATATGTATATAAGACATGATTATAGATGTTTCGCGACTTTAAGTCCTTTTACTCCAAATGTCCCCATTTTTCAGTCTCCAGGGGTATATCATCCAGTTTCTTACTAAGTTAATGAGTTCATTTTTCAAATACAAGAATTCGTGTGAAGTTGTTTCACTTTATAGAATTATTACTTCCCCCCTCCGTCCCCTCCCCCCCTCCGTCCCATTTTGATTATTTTCGATTATTTTTCATTTTACGTATGGAAACTTATTTTATAAATTCAGCAATGACATTAATTTAGTTATGATAACATCACTTACAAGTATTTATTACAGGTCGTGTAGTCCATTGTTGCTTGATTTATAGCAAAAACTTTGACTTTTGCACGTTGGTTGCGTTGCGCCTTTTTTAATAGATCTTATATCTTAAAAGAGTATCGGTTGAAAAATAATCCTAGAATACCTAACATATTTTATCATACCGTGCGCTTATTCAATTTGCAATTCAATCGTAAACTCTGTCTTGAAAAAATAATTTTACCAGATTTGTTGAATTTTCTAGCGGAAATTGCCTGCTCCCCCCTCCGTCCCATTTTCACGATCACCGGGCGTGATGGTTATTGTTTGTTAATAGGGTCTTCTTATGGGTTGAATTATTTTTACTAATATCATTGCATACATATTGTTTTTAATTTAGCATATTAAAATTCCTAACTTGTTTTAGATAATTTTAGCTGTAATGTAGTTTATATTCATGAACTCAAATTTTTCTAGCAATTAATCATTGATTAAAATAAATTAAGATTGAATTACATAATAAATTTTGATTTTGTAATACAATATAATAGACCTTTTCGCGACATCAATAAAACTGGGGTATATTGGCTATAGGTTCATGATTCCAATGGTTTCCATTTCTCTGAAAATTAAGAATAAATTACAATAGTCCTATATTTTGAAAATTAGCAATAAATTATATTTTGAAAATTAGCAATAAATTAGTCCTGTATTTTGAAAATTAGCAATAAGTTAGTCCTATTTTTGTTTTGAAATGATAAACCTTCAGCCTATGACAGCTTATGCTATCATTAATCTGGTTGATATATCCTGTCTCTCCATATGCCCTAAAGATGGCACTGTTTATTGGAAAGGTCTATTGCTTGTAAAGTGCCCTATATTAATGTATAAATTAACGACAAATATACATCTGATGCAATATTAACAATTATTTTCACAATATTCTAGGCTCAATTTGGGACATTATCCGACTATTTTGCTGCCGTCCATGAGAGGGCGGGGTCACAGATGGGGGAGAGGGTGCCTGGGTACCCTACCCTAGGGGGTGACTTCTACACATATTCAGACAGAGATGACCATTACTGGAGTGGCTACTATACCTCTAGGCCTTTCTACAAAAGCTTGGATAGAACTATGGAGTCTCATTTGAGGTAAATATTGAAGTAAATTGTATCTAACCTTCTTAACCATCTTCCTTTTTAATTGTACTTATAAACTGTTTATGGTGTGTCATGGCTAAATGAGCCAATCAGATTTTAACGAAAATGTCACACACATGGAAATATTTGCACTTTCAAAATATAGGGTCTTAAGATATCATTAAAAATGAAAAAAAATTGAGTTTCAGCCTTAATTTTTGTAAGTATAGGATTATGAAATAAAATAAAGATCAATTTGGGGATTTCTGTTAAATGAATGAAAAATTTAATGAATAATTAAAAAAATTAATGAGTAATTTATTATTCCAGGTCTGCCGAGATTATATTTTCATATGCTCTCGCTCATGCACGGCACAACAAAGTCTCCTCCTTTCCTGAAGAGTCAATGATGAAATCACTTGTCCAGGCACGTAGAAATCTTGGCCTTTTTCAACATCACGACGGCATCACTGGAACTGCCAAAGATTTTGTTGTTGTCGATTATGGTACAAAGTGAGTATTTTACACTAAATGAGTAATACTCAATATATTAGCTTTTGGAAAATAATGAAGGCGATTTGAAATGAACAGTATTTGAGAAAATAGCAAAACACTGAGGTTTCATTAGCAGCAAGCAACAGGCGATTTTCATTAGTTATTTTCATAAAATTGCCTGTTGTTTTTAGGAACTTTTCAACTTTTCCTTGTTAAATTTATGATTTCCATTAATTTTGTCTGTTGTTTTCATTTATTTGGCCTGTTTTGAGAAATTCTAGTGAAACCCCTAAAAACATCTCAAAGATTGTTTGTTAGGGAAAAATGATTACATGTGTGTATAACATCATAACTATGCACTGGGGTTTATTAGCAGGAGACAATTTGGTCTGCTCTATCTTACATGATACATCTGTATAAAATATGTATGTTGTATCTTCAAAAATTTGCTGAGATCCATTTTTCTCTTTAGTGTCTCATAGGATTTATGACCCCCTCTCTCCTTGTGAACCCCTCCTTTTGATCCCTCCCTCTCCATTTAACCCCCTTTCTAGAGGTGGAATCACAAGGCAGAGAGCTCTTGAGACCATTACAAGTTTTACTTTTTAAATAGAATTCCAATGAAACCTCTAATATACTTTATATTTAGATTAATCAACTCATTAATGGACATGAAGCGTTTAATGGGTGAGATGTCACATTTCTTACTGACTGGAAACAAAGCACAGTACACATATGAGGAGTCCAGTCAATACTTCGACATCGACGAGATGAGAGGAAGCCACGATAGTCTGCCCGTCAAAACAGTAATAGATGTCACTACTGAATCAACGTAAATATTATATATTTGTAAACATTGTTTCAGAATTTGAGCATTTTTGTGAATTCTAGTCTTATTCATCAACTAAATGGGAAGTCACAATAAAATCAACGTCAAAACAGAGATCCCTTTTGGACCAACATGTTTTGCATTTTGTTTTTGATGTTTTTTGTGATCTACACATTTAATTAACTGAAGGACCTTTGACCAAATTGCAAATTCACAAACAGATGGATATCCATGTTAAAGTCAAAATGTGGTAAGAAGTATTTTTGGTTCAATACAAGTGTAAAATACATTTGGTACAATACATTTATTTAATTCATTTGCTACAATATATTTTTTATGTTTGTTTTTCAGACCAATAGCCTTCTATAACTCACTGGCCCAAACACGTACTCAAATTATTAAAGTTTACGTAACAAGCCCACATATCATTGTAAAAGACACGGGTGGCGTTGTCATAGATACTCAGGTGGACCTTTACTGGAATAGCAACGAGGACAGTGCTAGTGACATGTATAAGGTAACAATAATACACTCCCCTCCATAAGTTCGCTAACCAGAAGTTCCCTTTTGGACCATTTTTCCAAGTCTGTTTATGTTTGGTAATGATAAATACACTCCCCTTAATAAGTGTGGCAACTGAGAAACCCCTTTTTGATCATTTTTCCAAGTCTGTTTATATATGGAGAAATTATCAATTTTGCGATTTTTTGAATTATTGTAAAACATAAAATTAAACAAAATTAAGATTCAAACATTTATATGACTTTGATATACTATCTAATGGAAACTCTCAGTTGCTAAAATTATGAAGGGGAGTGTAAATCAAAATTGTATTTTTTGTCATTATTATTATAAAGTAATAAAAACCTACTTGTAAAATATCATTGGTATGAGTCACCAAGTTGTTTGTAAATATAAAAGCTAGTCGTACTACTGACCACCAATAACACTTAAATACCAAAATGTACCATTTTTCAGGTCAGTTTTGTAGTAGTGGTACCAGCTGTAGGAATATCAAAATACACAATACAGAAAGTTGATCCAGATTCTAACCCTAGGAACTCATTCTCTGAGACCACTCTCTATACAACAGGGGGCGTGGCCTTCAGACCTGGAACGGGCATCCTGAAAAGGTGGGGTTAAAATTTATTCTAGGCGTTGATTATTGAAAATTAATTTGAAAATTTGTTCAGACTTTCTATGTTTCTATGTTAATTAAATACATGATTTTATGTTCATGATAAATATAAACAAAATTTATGTTCATGATAAATATAAATAAAACATATCTTATTGAGATGATGTGACTCATTTTAAATTTTAAATAAGTCATGTGAAAAAAGAAAAAGTTTTTTTTATTTGTTTTGTGAAAAAGAAAAAAAATACATCATTGCTATTATAATGTTTATTTTATTTCAGGGGTCCATTCACCATAATTCCCAAAACTCATGAAGACTTCAATGTAGAAACATCATACATGAGTGCTGGTTTCCAGGGTAACAAAGGCACACTCAAGGTAACACTCAATTGCTCAAATTGTACTCAATATTACTCAAATTAATTTGAACAGAAATGTGATTGTACCATGGTATTAGCTGTTTATAAGCTCAAAATATTCATACATTGCTAAAGTTAATTTACTTAATAACACTTAAACATGAAGTTTTGTAAAAATGGGTTAAAGGATAAATGTGGATAGCTTAAACATGAATTATTATGTGAAGTTCTTTTCTTAAAACTGAATATTGCAAGCTTCTGAAAAGTGTGAAAACACATTGCTTCCCTAATCTTTCTTCTTAATGAAATAATTTTTAACTGAGATATACAAACTTATGATATAACTATAACTTGAGTACATAAACATAATCCTGAATATTGGTTTAACTGACACTTTAACTGACACTGTTTAGCTGACACATGCTTCACACCTTGTCGCTTTTAGAAATGCTTTCAGTGTTCTGTATTTGTTAACTCATGGAAACCTCGTAATGCTACGTGTCAATTAGGTTTATGTAACTTTAAATGTTGCAGTTTTAGGCATGAACTTTTTATTCTCACTAGTATTGGTATTGTAATACACCTTTAAAATGTACAATTATAAATAAGGCAAGAGTAAGTAATTCAATTGGTTTGCGTGATATCTGCCGGCATTCAGTTCATTCTACAAGAGTCCGTGCAGGGTTTATTGCAAACAAAGAATATTTTATTATAATCAATAAGAGTGTAATTTGTACACAATATCATTCAAATTAATTTTGAACAGAAATACAATAATAGTTATTTCTGAGAACATTTGTACATTGTTCAAATTGGTTTACAAAATCACACATAAAATTGAAATTTTGTAATGAAGGTTAATGGATGACCCTCATTCTGAATATCGTACCTTAATTAATGACACTTTTTGAAGAAACTGCACCACTTTTATCCTTAAAAGGCTAAATATTGAATTCAAATACTCTGGCCTATAACCTCGTATAATCTTTTGAACACATGCTTTTCAATTTTACATGTACATTATAGTGATATCGCTTTTTTATTATTTCTTAACGAACTTTGTTTCACGCTTTAGTCATTAAGTTATGCTGACACCAAACAAACACATATGACAAATATACAATTTGTGAAATACGGAACAACATCTGGAAAAGAGAAAAGTGGAGCATACTTATTTTTGCCCGATGGCAACGCAAGGGTAAGATTGATCTCTGGAGAGTGGGGTTTGATGACTTGGAGCATGTATCTGAAAACAAAATGCCAGACTCGTTGTATCTTTACAAGCAAATAAAATTCAAAATTTGAATTAACAAGTTCAGTAAAACCTGTCTAATTTGAACACCACTTGGACCTGCTGAAAGTGTTCAGATTGGTGGGTGTTTACATTTCAATTTTTTCATTTAAACATGGAAGTCTGACTGATTATGTATAAATGAAAACAACAGGCAAAATTAATGGAAGTCATAAATTTAACATGGAATAGTTGAAAAGTCCCTTAAAACAACAATATTTTGTGAAAAGAACTGGTGTAAATCGCCTGTTGCCTCACTTCTAATGAAATCCCTGCAAATTGTGACCAAAAAGTGTTCAAATGAGAGAGATGTTTGGAATATACAGGTTTTACTGTAATGCAGGATGAACCATATTTAATATGGGTGACATTGAGCGTCATAAACAATCATTTGATGTGATGTTTAAGAGTTTTTTAAAAAATATTATAAGCAAAAATATGACGAGATTGGCTTTTTAAACTTCATTTTGTGCAACTCTGAACAAGAGACTGCATAAAACTTAGTAATCCTCTATGTTTGGCTTAGAATGGTTGTTGGTTTTGCTTTCGTTTTTATTTTCTGCTTATTTAATAGATGTAGATTAGATAATGAGAGGAATTTGTCCCTAACTTTGGGGAAAGTGCCAAGACTCTCTTGGAAACAGTTTTTTTAGCTCACAAACAGAAAAGGTCTCTAATTTTGGGTTTATGGGTTTCTCTCATTATGAGTTTCTTTCACTTTGGATATCTCTCACTTATGGATCACTTACTATGGGTTTCTCTTACTATGGGATTACTTTCTATGGGTCTCTCTCACATGGGTTAAAATTTATTCTAGGCATTGAAAGTTACACTTTCTCATATATTTTGGGTGTGATGGCTACTATATCTAGCAATTATAACATTAAGTACAGTTCTTGCACCATACGCTTGCATACTTGCACCTTTACTTGCATGCTTGCACCTTAACTAACACACAAATCCAAAGCTTGCACTCAAGTCCCTTTATAACCAAATAAGGTGTTAATTTTTTCCCTATATAACCATATAAGGTGTTAATCCAGGAATTAATTCTAAGTTCAATTGCCTGCAGTACTTATTAGCTCGTGATGACCCAGGAACGATCACTAACACGCTAAAAATGAGCATGGACTTCCTGCTGTATGGTACAAGACCGGGCAAGGAAAAGAGCGGGGCATATTTATTTCTCCCCGATGGTCCAGGAAAGGTTGGTGGTGGAGTGAGACTGGCGGGTTGTGGTGTGATTTTTGTGCTGTCGTGTTACATATCTGTTCTTAAAAGTAAAATCAAAACTACTGGTATATATTTTAAACCAGTAGGCTGGTACTTGTAACTAGTAAATTATTCATATTACTATGGGGTAATAATCACACCTGGGAAAACTACAGTATCTATTAAATAACTATTTTATTATGGTGTAAATAAAGATTCATTTATAGATATTCAGTTCAGATTAAAAATCATCACTGCAGTATTAGATTTCGTTAAATGCTTTTATACATGTAATGAATAGTTGGTGAATTAATGCACAAGTTAATGTGTGAGAGAGTCATTTATCGAGACTGCATGATCAAGTACTGGTAAGCATACAAGAAACGAGTACATTAATTTACCCACAATTTATTGACTTGAATTTAAACCAATATTGATGAATAATCAACATTTTGAATTTGATTTCCAGCCTATAGAATATGACAATCCATTCATTCGTGTAATTCGTGGAAAACTGCTGACGGAGGTCCATACATTTATACCAAATGTAGAACATATAGTGCGCCTACACAACTCACCAGGTGAGGGGGGGTTCTTAGAATTAAAATTTTTAAAATAAGTATGGCTATTGTAGAGTTTTATTGGGATTCTAATCATGGCAGGTGTAGACAGATGCTTTAATATAAGAATTAATAATAATATTGAGGATAGTTAGCCTGGCATGTATGTAAACAAATATTTCATTCTATTTTCACTGACTATCCGCAGGCCAATAGCCAGGTGTTGGGAAGGGGGACTTCACTTTTTAAAAATTTCCAGGGGGGTTCACATTTGACAACCTAAGCTCAAAAATGACCAAAATCAGGTGAAAAGTGCTCAGAATGGTGAATAACTGCATGATTTTGAAAGACCCCTCCCCCCAACTTTGGCTATGGGCCTGACCTGTGGCACTTTCACAATGATGTTTGTATCATATTTCATATTTCTCTAATTTTACTTCTAGGTGTTTGACAGTCAAACTCCCTCAATATTTTGTTACAGTTTTATTTATGTTAACAGGTATTGACAGTTCGGTGCTAGATATCTACAATTTAGTTGACATCAGACAACAGAGGAATGTGGAAGTTGCCATGAGGATAAAAACTGACATAGTAAATAAAGAAAGAGAGTTTTACACAGATCTCAATGCATTCCAAGTAAGTTTTACTATTAATGAGGTGTTGAAGTATGGTTTTGGCCAATTAATAATTGATCGTCCCTCGTATAAGGCTATATTTACCATCATAGTTCATGTTCATTCCTGGAAAGTTTTGTCAAAAATTATGATCTCTTTGATTTTATGCAGTGCAATAGACTAGATGCTAGTACAGTAGAACCTGTGTAAGTGGAACACCCTCCGTTCTGCCAAAAAGCGTTCCACTTAGGAGGTGTTCCACTTACGGAGGTTTTGGGTTCACGGGGATTTAAGAACATACAAGATCAAATATAGTTTTTTTCTGTATTACTGGAAATATGATTCTCTGTTCATTGCAGGGCAGCTATATACCATTAATTATCCACTTGTTTTACTCAAAAAAGGTATCTGACTTTCTTAATCCTCCTCATTCTGCCAAAAATGTTTTCTGACATTCTTAATCCTCCTCATTCTGCCAGTCGCAGGCCCAAAGATTTGGCAATTAAGTTTTAAATACTTGTTCCTACTGCTTATAATTCAACTGTCATTCTTAATCTTACTTATCAACTTTGAAACAAACAGCAAGGGGCATTAATTAGTGGTAGAATCACATGTCCATCTCTACAGGAGGTTAAATCCAATTTGATGAATGATAATCTTATGAATTCCTAATTTGCTAATTATCAAATTAATTAGTGGTAGCATCACATGCTGATCTCTACAGGAGGTTAATCCAATTTGCTATATGGTAATCCGTTAAAATTCTAATTAACCAGTTACCACGTTATTACCTGTTTTCATACCCAGATATCACTGTAGGAGGTTAATTCTGTTTACATAAGTATCAATATTGAAATTGACTGTTCCACTTAGCAGGTTGATTTTTCAATATGGGGTGTTCACTGTTCAAGTTTGGAGGTGTTCCACTTACAGAGGTTCAATTAACATTAAGTCAATGGGTTTTTAAAGCGGGACTTTGAAAAAGCGTTCCACTTGCGAGGTGTTCCACTTACAGAGGTGTTCCACTTAGCAGGTTCTACTGTACAAATAATCGTGATAAATCATTAGAAATTAAAAATTCAGTCAAAGTGATATCATGTGTTTGAAATCAACATGTAAAATTACATCTAGAAATGTGGTTTTAAAAAGTGTTTATCAACTTTGAAAATTTAAATTGACTTCTAGGCCGGGGGGATTCCCTATAGACCCCATGCTTTTAAATCACAAAAAGTGAAATATCTTTTTATATTGGACAGATAATATTTTCTTTTACTGGACATATTTTAATTTGTATAACTATCCGATACATAAGGGTAATATGAAAATTGAACCACTAAAATTGATGAATATTCAAGTTTAAAGAAACATTTTAATACCCTGCCATGTTATCTACCCCAAATTAGCCACCTGGTGGTGAAACTGAGTGGTTCAAGTTAGTTCAAGTACATGTACAGGGTGGTTTAAAAAAATGGGACACTCATATTTCAAAAATAAGTATTGATTTTTTTGATGAAAACATGTCATATTATATACCAATGGATAGGGAATTTACTTATCTTTAATTTGGTATATCATAAGTTCAAATTTATTATGATGTCTGTCAACCAGCGTCCATAATATAAATGATGCCATTTTCATTTCAAAACAGGTTTTCCAAAACTTGCAAAAAAAGTTTTATTGTCAACTTTATTTACATAAACAGACGTTCAATATGTCCACCATTTTGATCAATTGTAGCCCTCAATTTTGGCCTAAACTGGTCAATAGCATCGATGATAGTACCCCGGACAGGTTGTATGATGCAGTCGTTTTTTTACTCTATATTTGCAATAGAACAACCATTCTTATTAAAATTTTCATATTTTATTCTGGAGACAATTTCCAACATGGAAAAAAAATATTTTAACGAAATTCCCAATTTCATGATTTTGACGGACGTTTTTCAAAAACACTACACTGTCAATAAAATACAGGTTTTTGCTTGAACAATTGAACTTTTAACGTCATTTAAAATATGGCTATTGAATTTTCGGCCGCCTAAAGTCTCCAGATATATCTGTTGACATATTAATAATTATGTCTGATTAATGTTATTCACTTGAGTCATATTCAATATTATTACAGTGCATTAGGCCAATAAAAACTTGTTGCTCTGGGTCTCGTTTTGTGAAGTGTTCCCTAGATTGAGCCCAGATAGAGGAGGTCAATCTTCTTGTCCATGGACATGAGTTCAACCTGATCACACTGTTTAATACTGTCCAAAATGAAGTAAAACATTACGAATCTCCAATTTCAAGTATTCTTCGCATTAGATCCTTCAGAGATGTTAATAGAGCTGTGTCAAATGTTATCATGAAATTGTCAGGGAGACCTGACATTTTAAAAGCATGGTACAATTTACGTGCCACGGGCTTGCATGCTGAGTGACGGTGGCGGAAAAACCCAGTGGAGAAAAAAGGTGCATTTTCAGAGGAAACATGACCCAGAGTGACAAGTTTTTTATTGGCCTAATGCACTGTAATAATATTAGGCCTATTGAATATGACAAAAATGAATAACAATAATCAGCCATAATTAATATGGCACCAAATACATCTGGAAAGACTTTAGGCGACCAAAAATTCAATAACTAGACAATCTTTGAAATGACGTTAAAAGTTTAATTGTTCAAGCAAAACCTGTATTTTATTGACAGTGTAGTGTTTTTAAAAAAAGCCCGTCAAAATCATAAAATTGGGAATTTCGTTTAAATATTTTTTTTCCATGTTGAAAATTGTCTCCAGAATAAAATATGAAAATTTTAATAAGAATGGTTGTTCTATTGCAAATATAGAGTAAAAAAACGACTGCATCATACAACCTGTCCGGGGTACTATGCTGTTGAGACAATAAATGTCACTTTTCAATAATTTTGTCCTTCGGGGACTGAATAGATGTAAAGGATTTATGGTTCACTAATTCTGTTAGTTCTCCCCATACGTGGAAGTCGCAGACGTTGGGTGATCTGTGATCTGGGGAGCCAGTGATTAAGGGGGGGGGTGAATCTAGGCACATTTTCCTTTAAACATTTGACACTCTTGTGGGATCTTGTTGGAAAATGTAATGATTCCAAAATGAGCTCATATCGGAATGGTCCACAAACAACATAACTGGATCATCTGATATCAACGTCTGCGACAACCACATATTGGGAGAACTAACAGAATTGGTTTATCATGAACCCCTTACATCTACTCAGTCCCTTACTAAAGATAGAATTGTTGAGAAGTGAAATTCATTGTCTCAACAGCATATCAATGATGCTATTGACCAGTTTAGGCCAAAATTGAGGGATGCAATTGATCATAATGGTGGACATATTGAACGTCTGTTTATGTAAATAAAGTTGACAATAAAACTTGATTTTCGCAAGTTTTGGAAAACCCGTTTTGAAACGAAAATGATGTCATTTATATTATGGACGCTGGTTGACAGACATTATAATAAATTTGAATTTATGATATACCAAAATTAAAGATGAGTAAATTCCCTATCCATTATAATATGATATGTTTTCGTCAAGAAAATCAATATTTATTTTTGAAATACGAGTGTCCCATTTTTTTGGACCACCCTGTACATTTAAAACTAAGATGGTTGCATGCAAGATGACTTCCAGTAATTCAAAAATAAAGGTTGAATTAATTGCAAGTATTTACACCATGGGTGAATGATTCCATGCTTAACAACACATTTTGTGACTACGAAATGTGCCTATGAAGTGCCCTGATTGGTCAGACACAAAACTATAAAATGATTGTTTTTAGTGAGAGGGTGGTGTTCGAACTGATAAACTCAGGGTAGCACTATGTTCACTATGCACTGCTCTCTGATTGGTCAAACACAAAACTATAAAATGATTGTTAGAGTAATGTTCCTTAACAAATGTGAATCTCTATTTTAGGTCCAAAGAAGGAAAACTTTGGATAAACTGCCCATCCAGGCCAACTATCATCCCATGCCTGCCATGGCGTTCATACAAGACGCAAGGACCAGATTCAGCATTCTTAGTGCCCAGTCTCTATGTTCCTTAACAAATGTGAATCTCTATTTTAGGTCCAAAGAAGGAAAACTTTGGATAAACTGCCCATCCAGGCCAACTATTATCCCATGCCTGCCATGGCGTTCATACAAGACGCAAGGACCAGATTCAGCATTCTTAGTGCCCAGTCTCTATGTTCCTTAACAAATGTGAATCTCTATTTTAGGTCCAAAGAAGGAAAACTTTGGATAAACTGCCCATCCAGGCCAACTATTATCCTATGCCTGCCATGGCGTTCATACAAGACGCAAGGACCAGATTCAGCATTCTTAGTGCCCAGTCTCTGGGTGTTGCAAGTCTTAATACAGGTACGTCTATATGGATATTATGTATATTTTTACCTGGATATCATGTATATCTACCTTGGAGTGTGATTCTGGTAATGCAACACGTGTAATGTCCATATATATAATGCTCAATTTTCTATGGTAATTTCTTGAAAGGGAAACACAAGTAAGTTCTAAATGTAATTTATTGTACAGTTAGTTTTATTAAACTTTTATTGTTCAGTTTAAACCATTTATTGTTCAGATTTCGCCATAGGTTATTCACCTGATACTAGGAATATCTTTTTGATTTAATCTTTTATGAGACAAAGCTTGATAACTTTTGATTTATTTAACGCCTTGTATTCCCACCTCCTTTTAGGAGAGCTAGAGGTGATGTTAGACCGTCGTCTAGGTCAGGATGATGGCCGAGGTCTCACCCAAGGGGTGCTTGATAATAAGAGAACCCCCAATAGGTTTAGTTTTCTTATGGAGCAACGAGATCCTAAGTCAAAGGTGTGTCAATTGTTGGCTTGACACCTTGTGTTTTGACAATTTGTAGCCTTGACACATTGTATTGTGAAGCTGACACTAATGAATGCTGCCTGCTGCGTTGTTTTCTTATAGCTCTAATCACTAAGTTTTAATTTAATTTACTTATTAAATTGTTGCTAACAATACTTGCTAATGTTTCAAAATATAAGGCTTTTTAAATAATCTTCTTATACAATGTAGTTTATTTCAAAGTTCATGAAAAACGACCGAAATTGATGCCTTGTATTTTGGAGAATAAAAGTTAAAATACGTAATGCATCCGAGTTCAAACTTTCGAAATTTATCAATGGAAATTGGCTGGATCACTGTACCTAGCTGTAGCATTAGTAATGGCCACTACGGGTCTCCTAAATTATGGGTCTCCAAAACTATGGCTAACCTACGCTATGGATCTCCATCTATGAATCACCCAACCACTCTCACGTTAAATTTTGGGTAGTATAACCATTATTTATGATGAAAAGTGTTATAACTTGAAATGAAGTTTGAAGTCAGATACATATTAGATGTGCATCCAATAATATAAGCTTAGATTTCTTGGCTTGCATATAATTAGTTGCATCTTGCAAATTAGATCAAATTCTAATAATATTTTGCATATTTCAGAAATTATAGTGTATGTATCATGATTAAATACAGTGATGTATCTCAGAGACTCAGACAACGTCAAATGTGCGCTGCATTATCACTTTTTGTTCATTTATGTACCGTTTATTTTTGTCTGCATTTTCTAGAGCTTTCATCGATTGCTTTTATTGCCTAACTATGTTTGCTATAATTTAACGTGTTTTCTGTCGTTAAACATATGTTTGCTATGATTTAACTTGTTTTTGTGAGAATTTAACATGTTTGGATATGAATAACCAAATAGGAGAGCTTGAAGTGATGTTAGATCGCACATTGGAGCAGGATGACAATAGAGGCCTTCAACAGGGGGTCAAAGACAACAAAAAAACGCCAAACAGATTCTCAATTTTAGTTGAATCAAGAAATGAATATTCTAAGGTATTGTTCATGAAAAGGTTGAGGATTTTGATAAAATGGTTGAGGATTTTGATAAAATGGTTGAGGATTTTGATAAAAATGGTTTTTTGATAAAATGTTTGAAGATTTTGATATAAAAATGGTTGAGGATTTTGATAAAATGGTTGAGGGTGTTGGCATGTGATATATCAAATGTCTGAAGGTGTTGGTGATAAAATGAAAAGGTTGAATATGTTTGCTGTGAAAACCAAAAAAGTTGAGGTTTTGGGATGTGAAGTATGAAAATGTTGATCTGGGTGAGGTGAGAAAAAATTGAGGGCTTGTTGTATTTCAAAAATTCATTAATGGTTTGGTATACTTACTAATATTTCAAGGGTTTAGTGAAAAATGTAGAGGTTTAAGGATATATCTTATGAGAAATCATTGTTTGAGTTTTCGATGTTTGTAATTTTGCTCAATTTCATCTCACTGTGCATGCTAAGAGCTGTTTCTTTTTCTGATATTTAAGGATTTAAGCCCTTTAATTAGTGTAATGTGGAATGACCATTCCTTGAAGGTATTACTTTCCAAAATTTGCACAAGATTTGCCAGCATCGAGTGTTAATTTAAGCAAACAATGCCTGAAAGGAATTGTCATTGTTATTGTTGACTAAATGTGCTTTATATAGAGCTCTAGATGTTATTTTTTTTATATTCATTATCTAAATGTACACATTTAGTGTATGGCAACCCATTTTTTATAAAACCATTTAACATCACTAATACACTGAACAACTTTTTTTATTACTTTTTTCAACGATTTTAGCATTAAAATGTGTGAATCTTCTACTAAATCTAATGCATCAGAATATCTGAAAGCTGCAACATTTTAAGCTCATACTACTGTAGTGTTATATGTTCATTTAGTGCATGCAATGCATAGAATAGATTACCATAGAAACCAAACATTTTTGAACTGAAGTTAATTCCTTTGTTGAATCTCTTTGTGAAGAATTTCAATTGATATATGATATACAGTAAAACCTGTTATTAAGAGAAACATTTACAAACTACATTTACGACCTCTGTAAGTAGAACACCTTAATTCAAAAGTATATCACTATTTTAAGATACCAAATGTGTTCCACTCATATATGTTTCACTACATAACAATTTTATGTGTAACAATGTACTTTACATCACTTTTCTAGGCTCCCAACATGATACCTGCGGGTTACCCCAGCCTATTATCCCATCAGGCATATCTTCAGCTGACGCATCCCATATATGGCTTCCCGAAACATGCGGGTGGCCCATCTGGAGATCTCTTGAATACATTCCAACCAATGGAGAAAGAAATGCCTTGTGAACTCCATATGCTCAATCTTAGAACCATGCAAAATCCAGGTACTGTCCTCGAACAAAATTTGCAATTTAGAATTTTCACATTTATCAAAATCTATAAGTTGCTTTGAATTCAATGAAGAAAATGGGATTGGCAGTTGTAGTTCAAACCCTGCATGATTGAGTTTTAATGTATGTCTAAACTATAGTTTGGATGCCTAAAGTACATTCTGCTTGACTAAACTACATTTCAGAGACTATACCAGAGCTTCAGTTTAAGCCTAAAGAGACATCTGCCCTCCTGGTTCACAGACTTGGGTTTGACTGCAATTATCCTGCCAAGGGCCTTAAATGTTCCACAAATGAGGGGAAGGTAAGAGCGAATTCCAAAGATCAATTTCGGAAAATTAACTGTATTCCTTTGAACAGCAAATATAGGGTTATTGGACTTAAAAGTTAGCTTTCCGACATCCTTCCCTGGATTTTTATTAGCGCATGCTTTTTCATTCAGTGCACTACTGGTATGAAAAATTAAAAATGAACAAAGTAAGATTATACGAAAAAATGAACTTTTTGAAGCCTATCTATGTCAATCCAAGTAACAAATACAATCATTTTGTCAATAGTCAATGGTCTTGTTCGAAAAAAACTGATATAGTATGATTTGCGAGTTACACATATCAACATTTCTCAAACACATTTATGAGGGGGAGGGTGGGTCACAGATTAACTGTTCAAATACAGTTAGTTATCCAGGATAACTCACTAAGTGGACTCTCCCCTGAAAGTGTAAGAATGACATCATAACTAATAGATGGCATTTTAAACGAGATCTGTCTATTGAGTTTTCTAGAATATACGAGGAAATGTCTTTTAAGATTTTGAATTTGAAGTAAAACATTGTATTTTAGCATTTGACTTCAAAGTGGCCAACAGAACATGGCTCTACCTGGAATATGTAAATTTGAAACCTTATATTTACAATTTTCCAAATTTTGGACTTGTTTAAAACCTTCAACTTCCTTAAAACCCATCTAAATTATGTTTTACATCTTAGTTCCACATTATAAAACCATAAATATCATTATAGAGGGATGGATCTAGAAACTATAGGGGTCAGCTATAGTCATACACAAAATCCAACTGTCAAAAATGTCAAATTTTTCGAAAAATCAACAATTTTTTTCTCAGCTCCTACCTTTTCAATGGCTTTGTATCTTTCAGGTTTACTAACCCTGCTATTGGGCACTTCCCATGAATTTTTTCAACCTCTTACAGTGTCTAATTGAAAAGTTAGGATCAAAATAGTAAGAAAATGAGTCACGAATTTGCCCCCTGGGGTACACACTTTGTACTTATATTCAATTTCCTTAGAAGCAATCAGCATCAATTATACTGCAAATGATTCATATATATAATATCTATGTATGTCACTTACAAACATCAAAATATCTAAGGTTATTTACTGTGAACAATTTTTTTTCCCGGGTGGGGTGTTTTTGGGGGGTGGGGGGCTAACTCCTCAAAAAAAAGAACTTCCTACCACTCTGTGAAGCTATCACCTAGGTGGAAGTTTCATCCAAGACTCTCCCCTAACTGAAAATGCTGCCAAACCAACTATACACCATTTATTGAGAATTTTCCTCCTCGCCCCTTGAGTATTCAATGATTATAGACTCTTTTCTTTCATTTTCAGTTTACCATAGCTGATATTTTCCGTGGTTTAGATCTTAAAGACGTGACGGGAACATCCCTTTCTTTGATGTTCGATGAAAATGCTATCTCTCCCAGTTCACAACTACAAATTGCACCAATGGAAATCAACACATATAAATTAAAAATACGGTGACAAAATTGACAAATTCAAAAGTATGTAGCAGCAGGTAGTTTATCTAAGGATGTAAAACGCACCAATAGAAGACATCAAAATATCTGATAGCAAAAGGAGGGACTTAGCTAGAACAATACATCGTGTAAAATACTCTTGACAGTCTCATCAATCTGAAATGAATGAATCAAAATTATATCTTTCCAATAAAGCCTGCCATTGTAAACATTGATACCAATGGTTGCCATACCGACAATCTAGGACAACATCAATAATATGGCCTGTATTAACTTTCAATGTAGCAAAGGATGGCATGGTTTATTGGAAAGGTGTATTTGTCTCTCTAAATATGGTATTTGAAATGCACCTACCGCAGGCAGATCCAGAAGCTAACAAGGGGAGGCCCACATTTCAAATTTTGAAAATTGATGGCCCATTTTTAATAATTGGGCCCAAAAAAGACCAAGCACAGCCGAAAAAGACCCACTAATTGAGGCCCTACAAAACATTTGCCCAAAATTTTCTTCTGGGCCAACTATGCCTCCCCTTGGATCTGCCAGTGCCTACACAAGAGTTAGGTTAGAGAAGGTTAATGCAAATACATGTATTAAATTCAACAGAGCTTTAAACTTAATGCTTGTCAAAAATTAAGTCACTGTAATGAATCTAAATTAATTAATTTTAATCCTAGTTAAAGCTAGTAAAATACAAAATTATTTACATATGTGTGTAATTTGTGTGTACATTTTAGTCACATTTTGATGGTTGCACTTGCACCCAATACTGTAGATACACTTAATTTGGCTACCGTTTTAATTTGACGGATTGGCGGATTGAAGAAATTCGCCATATTAAAAATCTGCCAATTTTCAGATCTGTTCTGAAAAATCCTCAGGGAATTTGTAATTATTTCACTTGTGTTTAGTATTCCATATTTTTATGTCTGTGCTATTCCAAGACTTACAGTAAGTGGAACACATGAATCTGAAATGCTTATTTCCAGATCAATGATGAAAGTTGAGCTCAGTCCTGACTCCGCCAAATTAAAGAGCCTCCAATATTTGAAATTGGGCAAATCTGCCAAATTAAGTAGCGTCAAATTAAGTGTATCTACACTCTACAGTAGTAAGGAAGTAATGATTCGTAGAATGCATCATAAGGATGATGGATCCATTTGTCAAAATTCGATTCAGGATCCATTGTTGAGTTTGTTCCTATCGTGTTTTGAGATATTGTACAAGAGTCATTCAATAAAGAAACCGAATGCTCTTATTTCCATTTTAAAGTCTACAGAGGCTATAGGCAATTTGTCTTTAAATTTATTGAATGACGCCCGTATGTTATGTAGTCCATTCATATGCTTTAAAATGAAGAAATCAAATTCGCATCGTAATTTCTTCGAGTCTGATAAAATAGTGTGAAGTGTTTATAAAGGCGTCATAGGATAGTAGATAAAAGTGATATTCTATTAGTTTGCCTGAGGAGTATACATACTCAGTATTGCAGAGAAACAAATAAACTTATACGGGTGAAATCAACTTTAAAAGATAATCGTAAAGGTTAATGGATAAGTTTATTGTGTCAGGGCTTGTTATGTAGTTTGACATTTTTAGAGTACTATACATTTTCTTATGATGCTTGGGATCGTCAAATTCACCAAAAACTGATGAAGTAAGTAATAAAATAAAATATGTGTATTTATATTTTGTAAATATGAATTAATATACGGATTGGGGAATCTGGTTAGCTGTAAGACTATTTTTAGTTAGCATAAGGATTTACAATAAAACCTGTCAAGTGGAACGAGTCTTCATTGAACACCTCCACAATTGGAACACTTTTCAGTTTCATGACACTAATGTTAAATGAACCTACAAGTGGAGCACCTCCCAAGTGGCAAACTTTTTAGAGGTACAAAAGGTGTTCCTTTAATGCCTTGGTCACATTTGCTCCGATTTTCACTATGGCACCCGGCTGATTGAGTATTTTGTTCAAAATTAATACAATATTGAACAAAACATGGTGCCGGCCGATGGATCGGAGCATGTGACCAAGGCATTACAAAGGTTTTACAGTAATAATCTGAAAATCTTGGAATATCTTTTTTTCCAAATATTGGTGCACATTTGTGCTTAAAGACTATTTAGTGGTTCTCAATTTCAATTTCAGTTTCAGTATTATGTATATTAGGGATTGGGAAAATGTAATGTTACGTGTATGTCTGTGATTCTATTTTCATATCTGCTTGAGTTATTGATCACTCAGCCATAAAGAACCATATATGGTATTCAATACCATATATGGTATTCTTTAATACCACATATGGTATTCTTTAATACCACATATTGTATTGCAAGTTATTTTAGTCAGTCATATCCTTGACCAATGATTATGACCATTTGGTAAATTGGTTTACATGGTAGTCTATATAGTCTTAAATCTTGTACCATAGTCTTAAATCTCTTGCCATACCATATATGGAGTTTCTTCTCTTTCCTGGTGAGTGGTTATTAGAAAAGATTATAATATTCTCTAAATTTTTATTATCTATATAAAGATTTTATCATAGCTGTTTCTCAAATGTTTAATTGAGTTTTTTTTACATTTTGTTCAATAACAGTATCAATTATTGTATGAGAAATTAAGCTTTAACAAAATAGAGAAACTATATCCCAAAGACTGAACCATGGACATGTAATGCATTGTCATATCTGACATTAAAGTGTCACAAAAGGTAACGCTATAGGTTCAGTGCATTAGGGTTAAGGTGAGGCACATATTGAAAGTGGTGAGGCACATATTGAAAGTAGTGATGCAAATTCAAGAAAAATGGATAAAACGGTACAATTAGACATCATTTTTAAAGAGACTTTTAAAACATCCCATTTTTAACTCTACAACCTAACCCTATGTCAGTTTATTATTAATATGTCAGTTTATTATTAATATGTCAGTTTATTATTGAAATGTCAGATCTTATATTTCGAGGCATAAGACCTCAATTCTTTGTTTCACATATTTTGTTAATATTTGTTGTGTGATTGTGACTACAAACAAGTAAAGTTTATAAATACTGTAATGCAATTGTGAGGTGGAAATGCATGTATGGCCATCACATTTTATACACTTAAATTAAGAACTGTTCATCTGAGTTAAGTGTTTTCTTTGAGTGTTTTTTTTTTAATATGTAGACGAAAAAAATATATGCTAAATAGAGAATTAAAAATCATGCAAAATTGTAAATAAAAGATATGAATTAATTTATGAATGATTGTAAATACTATAAAAAATTATATATATATGTGATGTCAATCAATTTCAAAATGATGCTATTTTCGTAGATATATAACACTTTTGCCCTACTAAGTCAAATGAGTATATTTTCCCACATTATTCGACACAAATGAACGTTAATAGCAACATTTTTAAATTGGGTTTCAGGAAATGTAAATGGAGTTAGGATATAATGAAATAAAATATTGTACTATATTGTTATAAATTACTTTATTGTTTTATTGTCTCAAATCCTTACATTTTTTCTTTTAAAGTTTAAAGGTACTTGTGTGGTCTTAACTGAAGTATGAAAATGACATGTCTTATATTACTGTTCCCCCCTTTTTCATTTGAATGTCACAGAATGTCATGACATCAGGAGCAACTTTTGTAAGGTTTCTTTTAAGTAAATGAATGTCAAACACTGGGTATGAAAAAATAGTTTAGGAATGAGATAAAAAATACAGCCCAGCAATCCAAAGGGAAAAATCAATCTGCAGCTGTTCTCCATTGAGTCATCTATATTTGCAGAATAGTTGCATATACAAGCTGTTCGATTTCAGTAACGCTGCAACCATATTATACACCTTATAATGGGCCAATATAAAAGTTGTAGTTTTGCACATCGTATCAGTTCGTTAGCTCAATCAATGCCTCGACGGCATTCCCTCCATGTTCCCGTAACTTCCTCTCTGCTAATGTCCTTGATATTTCCATTTCATTTACCTGGAAAATATGAAACATCAGTACATGATGGGCTTATTAGCATTTTGCAGATTATTGACATAGACATACATTTCTATACAAGGCATTAACATGACAAAATGTCACCACCTAGTTGCTAACAATATTTTTAGTTCAATCTTAAGTCAGATTTGAATTTCTAAGAACTTGTAGATGATTTTGAAAAAAAAATGGTCAATTTGAAAAAATAAGTTTTTTGACCCTGAGAAGGTTATTGAAGGTGAAATCTCAAGTCAGATTTGAACTTCTGAGAACTTGTAATGATTTTGAAAAAAATGGCAATATGAAGCAAGTTGAAAAAATACCTTTTTGATCTTGAGAATGTCAATGAAGGTCGGATCTTTATTCATATTTGAACTTTTGAGAACTTGTAGATGATTTGGAAAAAAATTTGGTCGATTTGAAGCAAGTTGAAAAAATTATACATTTAGAAATCTTAACTTGAGAATCTTAGCGAAAGGTTTTAGTTAAAAAGGAAAAACATCACAAAATATTAATGAAGAGTAGTATAGGTATATACATTAATTAGACATTATAAACATATTGTTTATAATAATTATTGTTTATAATAAATATATTGTTTATTATAATTAAAACAATCTCTTTGTGAGAAAATATCAATTATGGTTGAGAACTATTTTCTAGAGGGTTAAAATTATTTTCTATTTGATATTTTACTTGGTTTTAATCCATATTATCTACTTACAATAAGTTCAACATCATCTTTGTTTATCTTCACCTGCGATAATTCTCGTTCTCGTGTTTGCTTTTCTTGGAGTTCCCGAGCTTTCCTCTCATTCATGACCTTCATGGCCTGTGAAACAGACAAAAAAAAGTATTAGAAATATAGATACACAAAGAATTGTTCAAACAAACTGCAATGTCTTACGTGGCAAAGAATATGGGCAGGTTTGGTAAACAGTGTCGATGTCAACGACGTGATTAGTAGTGATTACCTTGTATCTCGATCCATAGACATAGACAAAAACTTTGGAGATGCTGTTTCTATTAGTTCTAGAATATTCTGAATCATTTTGGTAAACATAACCCAAATCTCTAAGTAAATTACTTGGCTAGACATCATGGCATGACAAGTTTTCCTTTAGACAAAAATTTAATTTAAATTGAAACAAACCTTATCCTTCATGCGATACTGCATGATTTCGTTTAAAATTAGAGCAATGGCTTTGAGGAAAATGGTGGATATTCAATAACAATGATGAAAATTGGACGAAAATGTCTGACATTATAACTGGCTATGTGTGTTTTGAGATATTTTGTGAGGTAATTAGGCCAAAACTTGCAATGCAAATTGTGTAGTGAAAATTTGTGGCTGGTTTGATTTAAACATTTGTGATTGTGACATGACTCATACACTGTATATGGCAGAATAAAACATACAGGGATTTATGGCTCGCGTAAGGCTGGAATACAGTGGAAGCCGTGGACAAAGGTAAGGTAAACAGAGACAACTTATATATGTAATCGGGTTCTAAGACACATGTATAGTCATGGGCGTAGCGCTATTTTTATGAGTAGTACGCCACCACTAGTATGTATCCAACAGACTGACTAGAAGTCAGTCTGTTATGATGTACTAAAGCTTTTTGCAAGGCCTGAGTGCGCCGCTAACATGCTAAATAGAAGAGTTAGCTGACGTTTGGGAGTCTGACTTACCTTCTAAAGGTTAGAACCCGAATTTTAATGAAACCATATCACCTTTGTTGCGTCGATGATGATGCATAAACATAGCATTTGATAGAAATTAGTGTAAATACTTTTCCGACTTTTTCATTTTTCATCAATGTTGACTTCCGGGAAGGCGTTGTAGTTATCACGAAATAACGCATTGACCCTTGAACTTTACTTTGTTGACGTGTCAACCAAGCATGTCTGGTGTGAAAATTAAAAGAATATTAAGCAATGTTCTACATCCGCCAAGCTAAGTGAAGTAGTCAATATTTAAAATTACCAATTTCAAGTGAAGTACGCAACGAACGAAACTGCGTGATTTACACTCCCACTATTGGTCTGAATGAAATGCTACGTAGAAATATGAGCCGTCTGCTGTATTAGTCGATTAATAGAGTAAGACCTGTTGGTGATGCTTTATAATTTAGACCAAAACATTGAAGAACAAACGAACCTGTAAATCGTGAAAACAACGAACAAATATTCGGTTTTCACATATGTTCGGTAATTTTTCGTATTGAAACTTCCGGAACTTACAAGGAAATCATTCATTTTCTCGATCCATGATTTACCTCTTGGATGTTGTGGCAAATGCTCCATGGTTGACGGAACAAAGGTGATATGGTTTCATTAAGATTCGGGTTCTAACCTTTAGAAGGTAAGTCAGACTCCCAAACGTCAGCTAACTCTTCTATTTAGCATGTTAGCGGCGCACTCAGGCCTTGCAAAAAGCTTTACTTTCCTGTGGAAATTGCAGTGAAATTTTTTGCACAAAATTATCAATTAGAGGAACCATTTCTTCAATAAAATAAACATTACAAAATTTCAACTAAATAGTAAGGTACAGTTAAATGCAATAAAAAGTAACACAGCATATTATCAAGTGGAAATAAAGCTAGATGAAGAAACAAATTTGCAAATTAATTTTACCCAATCGGCCATTTTGAATAGCACTTCCTATGTAAACAAATATTCAAAATTACCAAACTTTAACATAGGTGCCTTATAGTCTGAATATAATTCAGACTAAATAGGATATAGTCTAACGCCACCACGGGAATACGAGTTGAACAAAGCTAAAAACGAGCAATCAGGGGTTGGTGTGGGGTTTTCCCTCAGAAAATTTGGTTGTATTTGGAGTGTATTTTCAAGCATCTGGTACGATTGTGCGTACCAGAAGCTACTCTTATGACAGTCCCATCACAAAATATAAAAAAGTTGAAAAATGGGCGATAATATGTGAAATTTGTCATGCGAGAATTAAGAAATGCCATTTGGAGTAGATCAACTTACATCGCTTATGTTCTGTGGTGATATTTCGGCTTCTTCAACGTAATCTGTGACCTTTTCCAGATCGGCAGCACCGTCATCATGTTTGCCGACCTTCTTTTGGACCCTAACGTCTTCGGATTGTTCGATTTCTTCTTCAGCCATATTGAACGGAGCTATGAGTATATTTCCAAAGTTGTCTACGAATTATCATTTAGTCAATATAAACGATATAAAACACATACTATTTATATCAAAATACAAGAAAGACTTGATCTTTTGTATTTATTATTTAATTGGTTTGTTTTTCTATTCTATTACTGGTGTTTTTTCTTTTGGGAATATATTTCGATTTCGCCTTAAAGAATATTATTCTAGCTCTGCTGTATTCAAATTACACGTCAAATAATTTCAAAACATTAGTAACCTTCTCTATACTTTGTGTTTTACGGATTAACAGGGCCAATTATGATCAAAGCAGTTATCTTGATTGGTGGTCCAATGAAAGGTGAGTCTAAATAGTTCAATAAAGTTGTATTCAAAATTAGGTGGATTCAAAAACATGGAAATCATGAAATTGAAACTGAAAGTGATTTTCTCAAATGGCAATTGGTCTCATCGTCTCATGACTCTAATCCTTGCAAACCAATTTCCCAAAAATAGTGAAGAAGAATCACATGTACCCCTGCATATTAATTATAGGCCTTATATCGATACATGTGCCACGCCCAAACCTGAAGAGGCTTCTCACATTGATAACCTACTGATGTTTTGGCATCAGCTAGACTCTAGAAACGTTGAACGATCTGCTGACAGAATAAATCCAAGCGATGAGACTCAAATTGCTGTTACAAACGAACAATTTAAACTTATTCATGATGTTAGGGCAAATCATTTAAAATCAGGAGATTTGGAATTGAAAAATATGAAGGTTTAAAATGTAACCCTCCCTCCCTCCATTCTATTTGTTTATTAACTATTTTCACTCATTGGAAATTGAATTGTTTGTATATTTTAGGGACACGCTTCAGACCTCTGTCTCTTGAACTACCTAAGCCTCTTTTTCCTGTTGCTGGCTTTCCAATGGTATATCACCATATTGAGGCATGCAGCCAGGTACAGTACATAACACTTACAACATTTGAAGAATTTTCTTGTATTCACATGTTTGACATCTATATAGTAAATAAATAGCTAACAGTCTATTTACAATTTATATGTACATTTAAAAAATTTTGAAATCTAGTTTTTATTTCTAGGTTCCAGATTTGAAAGAGATTCTGCTAATTGGATTTTATCAACCCAACGAGGCTCTCACACGATTTATAGCCAATGCCCAATCAGAGTTCAGTGTACATATTAGGTGATTACTTTTTATTAGATTTATTTCCCTCCATTACTTGGAGAAAAGAATTATTGTTATTACAGAACATAAAAAAGTTTTGCAGTAAAAAATTTGTAATAATTTGTAACAAAATAAAATGTTGTAAAATCATAAGATAGTATAAAATTGAAATACAGTAAAACCTGAATATCTGAACACCTCTCTAATCTCAACACCTCTCTTTTCCGAATACCTCTCAGTTTGAACACTTTTGTCAGTTCCCTTTTTCTAATCTCCCATAGACTTACATGTTAAAACACCTGCCAATCAAAACACTTTTGGACAGTCCCACTGATGTTCAGATAAGACAGGTTTCACTCCACAGTTTGAACTTGTGTAAGACTGTAAGTATTAATGAACATTAACTTCGTTATAGATATTTACAAGAATTCACAGCTCTCGGAACAGCTGGAGGACTCTATCACTTCCGTGATCAAATTCTGGGTGGAAATCCTGAATATTTCTTTGTGCTGAATTCTGATGTCTGCTGCGACTTTCCTTTACAAGAAATGCTGACGTTTCATCGTGGACGGGGAAATGGAGGACACTTCACAATAATGGCAACTGAGGTAATTACAAGGCCTACAAACGAGGCTGTTTGTTGAGAACTTTTGATTTACAAAATAATAAAATTCAGTCGTCTTTAATTATTATGACTATGCCAGAAAAGGATGATGGTTGGTGTTTAGTGTTTAATGTTTGGCATCTGTAACAAATGGCAGGTGCTAACATTTTGTATATTAATGCCTTGTTGCCATGGTATTGTTGATATGATGTAAAACGACAATGGGTTCAGGGATAATGGATATAATGATTAATGGAACACAAATTCTTTTTTCAATGTATTATGGTTTCATAGTGGTTTTGATTAATGCATTATTTAATAGTCTCGCTACAAGCCCTTGGGACCCCCCTCCCACTACTTGACTACATTCACAATGTCGATAAAGAAAACAACAGTCTTGAAGAAAGACTATCAATCAACACCCTTTAAAAGTGTACTGTTAACATGTAAATTTCAATCTGTGATTGGAAGAAAAAAATAAAACCTAATGAGCAGCATATCATTTTAAAAATCCTATCAGGAACTAAATTGCTTGGAAACAATTAAGTGCAGTAGGATGATTTGCTTCTTGTTTTCAAATAACATTACGGTTATTGATATTTTGCACAATTGTTAAGAGGTTAATGAATTAGCAGAGTTTATCAATATGATCTTTTAGAATTGATCAACTTGCTATTGAAAATGGACAATGAGATATTTTGGATCAATACCTGCATATATGATTATGTGGCTCGTTAATCGAACAAAACTGCTTTTTGACCTGATACTGTTTTTTTTAGTTTTTTATTCAGCAGTAATTAATTACATATATCTAATACAATAAATATACAGTAAAACCTGTCTTAGTGAACACCTCTCTCTAGTGAACACCTGTCCCTAGTGGACACCATTCCTACGCACATAGTCCACTGACTTCTGTATAAATTACCCTCTCTCTAGTGAACACCTACCTACAGTGAACATTTTTTCTTGGCAAAAAAATGTTCACTATACACAAGTTTTACTGAAATCCGCTGGATATTCTTCTGGATTTCAACCCGATTTTTCTACAGTATTTGCTTCATTGTTTCTCAACTGATTTGCATAAATTTGAAAATATTTGTTTGAAAATTGCACCTCTTGTTACATCATAAGTGCAGCCATGTTGACACTATAAAGGTGTATTTTGCCTCAAGTTAGTGGGCTGCTTATAATTGCAAAGCTATGTCTCAGAATAATAGAAATAATTCAAACATGCTATGTATTTGAAAATTATGGTATGTTAACCTTCTTGTCATGGCTACTATTATTTATTTATTCATAGTGTTGAATATAAAATTCTCAAAGTGGCACCATCCATTTGGATTTGTAAAAATATGATAAAAAAACGATAAACTTTAAACTTTATTTTATATCGCATAGCACATTGCCTAAATTATAACTCATAACATATAACATAAACCTTTCCAAGTGGAACTCCCTTGGTTCAACTAAAACTAAAAAGTGTGCTACATTTATTTGACTGGTTTTACTGTGAAACCAGTTAAGTGGAACACCCCTAGAAGTGGAACACCTCTATTGGTAGAACACTTTTTAGAGTCCAAAAACCAACTGACTTAATGTTAAATGAACCTCTATAAGTGGTCAACACCTCCCAAGTGGAACACTTTTTAGATGTACCAAAGGTGTTCCACTTAGACAGGTTATACTGTATATGTATTTTATAAATATTTAGGCTGCCAAAAATGTGTAGCTATGTTTGTATAAAATATGGGGGGAAAATAAAGCTTATAAATCCAAGCAGGTTGAAATCACCTATACATTATGTAATTAATTAAACATATTATTATTACATGTATATTATTTCGATATACCAGTATATTTTTCAGATTTTTTTGTATTTACCTCCAAAAAATATTTCAATACACCCCCCTTTATAAGTTTGGCAGCCAGAAGTTGCCTTCTAGATTGCATATTAAAGGTTTATGTTTTGCAATTTATTAAAAAATCATCTTTATATTCACTTTCCTTTGTAATTCCTTTGTATTGAAATAAATAACAAAATTAGATTCAAACATTGACAAGTTTTTGCATGCTGCTATAAAATAAAGACTCCCAAGTTGCCAAACTTACTGAGGGGAGTGTAATTGTAAATTAACTAATTTGTTTGAAACTTGAAACTAAACAGAATGCATTGTACGAGGCTTGATCCAAAAGTTCTCCACCGTTTGTTTTTAAAAAAATATTTATTGGTGAATTTTCGAATTTTCAAACTTGGTCCTGATTGATTGATTGCTCGATTTATTTTAACATCATGTAAATGTAAAATAATTGTTTAGCACACCATGCAGCTCTTTAATTAGTTAATTAATAATTAATTGATCTTTTAACTGTCTTACAGGCAACCAGGCAGCAGGCTTTGAACTATGGCTGTATTGTTGAGAATAAAGATACACATGAGGTATGTAATACTATAATTATTACACATTTAGAATGAATACTGCACTGTGATTGGTTCATTATCATCACCTGACCAGTTAATAATTTTGTATACCTGTCTGCATTATTACATCAAATAATTCTTATTTCATTATTGGTTTCAAAATGTTTTATATCTGGATCATATATCATTCTGTAATTCTATTTTGTAATATGAATGTACCTGAATATAATGACTATTGTATTGTTACATGATGTTTATAGGGTCTTTATAATAAGAGTTTTGGTGCACAGGTACTGTATTGTCGTAATTGTACTTGTCCACTTATGGTTAGCTATTCAAGCTAGGGTCTTGTATCGAAAGAAGTAAATGAGAATTTAAACTTTTATTCATTCAAGGACTGGATGTCTTATATGCAATTCAAAGTGGAAGGTCCTTGGATGATTGGAAAGTTTTAATTTTTTTATTTTGGATATGGGAAGATAAAAAAACTTTATGTGAATATGTGATGCTTGCTCAGACCCATTCTAAAGGTAAAATGTATGGGATATTCTTTATCTTTTAAAACTCTGTCTGCAATTAACAAATGACTTTTTAATCTTCTTATTTAGCAGTAAACATATGGGGTAGCTACTGATCAACGTCCAGTTATTTTTGACATGAATCCATTGTTCTTTCTCTAGATATAGCAATATATCATTGCAACTGGAGCCAGAAATACTTAATTTTTTTCTTTCTATTCTCAAGGTAAATCTAAGTGGTTTCCAGAACTACACCACTAAAACCAGGGTCTTCTTTCCCTAAACTTTTGTAATGACTTAAATTTGTATAACAACTCTTATATAAGTTGGTTCTAGCTACATGTAGTAAAAATCTGGAGTAGAATGGTAACCATGGAAAACTTTTTTCTGGGTAATTTGTATTTTAAGAGAAAAAACTGTTTTTTCTTATTGTATACATGTATAATGGGATGGTAACAATGGGTAAGCCAATTAGAGTTTATACAGTGTCTTTAAGAAATTTAAGAAATACATTTTATATAGCGATTTTTTCAGTTTTTTGGCAAAGTTGTCCAGTGAACCCCCCTGAAAATTTTCAAAAAGTGAATCCTGTCTACGGGCCTGAACCTTATTAACTAAATGGCATACACCTTAAATGGTGTACTAGTACATGCAATTTTTCAATCAATAACAAAGTGAACCCACTTGCATTTCGTTTTCTATATAATGTATTCATTTTTTAGGTTTTACATTATGTTGAGAAACCAGAGACATTTATTAGCAAGCTTATCAACGCTGGGATTTATCTTTTTTCTCCGGCCATCTTTAAACACATCAAAGTCGTCTTCCAAAGAAACCAGGAAACCACAGAGTAAGTTGAAATATACCTTTGTAAAAATGTAAAAAAAATTATTAACTGTTGTGATTTTTATATTTAGTTGTAAATTATAAGCTGTGTAAGATAAGGGAGTTCGAAAAAGGGGGCTATATAAAGAAGCACATAGTTCTTGATCTTGCAAAAAACGGGTACCCCAATGAATTGAAGATGGTCCCTGGTAATATGGTTGGACAGCTAACCGTATCAAATAGGAAAACCTGAAATTCAGGTTGATAAGTGTAAAAAATCGCTGACAAGTTGATTAGCAAGGGACACAAGCATCACCAGTGGCTGCTCTTTTACACAATCATTGGAGTTCCCCAAATAGAATATAAAAAAGTATTTCTTACTTTGGACATTAGTGTTGAAATGAAACACATGCATGACATTTTTAAAAAAGTATCATTAATAAATTCATTAAACCTGTTTGATTCCCTATTAAACCGTTTCTGTTAATACATAGTATGTAATGACACCCCTTTATTGACATACCTCAATTTTATTACATCGTTGAATGGTTTTCTGTTAATACATAGTATGTAATGACACCCCTTTATTGACATACCTCATTTTTATTACATCGTTGAATGGTTTTCTGTTAATACATAGTATGTAATGACACCCCTTTATTGACATACCTCATTTTTATTACATCGTTGAATGGCTTTCTGTTAATACATAGTATGTAATGACACCCCTTTATTGACATACCTCATTTTTATTACATCGTTGAATGGTTTTCTGTTAATACATAGTATGTAATGACACCCCTTTATTGACATACCTCATTTTTATTACATCGTTGAATGGTTTTCTGTTAATACATAGTATGTAATGACACCCCTTTATTGACATACCTCATTTTTATTACATCGTTGAATGGTTTTCTGTTAATACATAGTATGTAATGACACCCCTTTATTGACATACCTCATTTTTATTACATCATTGAATGGTTTTCAGAAGTTCAGTATTTTAACCAGCTGTCTCCCCATTGGGTGTGTTGAATATAAAAAAAGTTTAAAATTCAATTTAAATGTTTTGAGAACTCCCGGGGAGATAACTGATGTTATAATGCTTTTAATTTTTTTTATTATTAAGTATACATTATTTGAAGAAATATTGTTATATAATACTTTATAAATAATATGCATTATTTGAAAATGAATTGTATTATAATATTTATGTAAAGAAATGCATTAGTCAAAAGAATATTGATACTCCAGTAAAGCCTGTCATAGTGAACACCTATCTCTCGTAAACACCTGTCTCTAATGAACACCCTTCCCCCACACAGACTCTACTAAGTTCTTTATCTGTAGTGAACACCTTACCTATAGTAAACATATTTTTTTGGCTCCATGGGCGTTCACTGTACACAGGTTTAAATGTGAAGAGATTATATAGATATTAGATTTTATAATGTTGATTGTTGTGTGTTTGCTACATGTAGTGTCTAGAAACTCCATGTTGTTAAATTAACCGGGGGGGGGGGGGGGGGGGTTCTCCCATATATTTGCTTTACATATGAGTCCCATTTTGAAGAAAAAACCCTAGGTATGGGTCCCAATTTTGACAAAAAAAATCCCTAGAACTGGATCTTCTTTTTGAAAATCCTGAAACTTGGTAGTGTTCTTGAAAAAAACATGCCAGAAATGGGTCTTGTTTCTGAAAAATTATCTCGAAGTATGTCTATTTGTGAAAGAAAAACCCTAGATGTGGGTCCATTTTTAGAGAAAAATCCCTTGATGTGCCCCCCCCCCTCCCCTGGATATTAACACTAAACTTTACAATTTCAATAACATCCAATTGAAATAATATTTTTAGTGATTTTTGCTGCATGTTCATTTTTTAATCCTGTTTATAGCCATGAAATGAATAGTGTCAATCGGTAGGTTTTGTAATTTTAGTTTCTTTGGGACTTCAAACCCATCAAATCTATTGATCATAATTTATTCTTTCTATTGCTCATTAAAGCCTTCTTTACATTATACTGGTTAAGTAGAAATAATTTTTTATTTGGCTATTTTTGATAATTTCTCTCGGATGCCTTCCGTGGCTTAAAGGGGAACAAAAACCATTGTGGTTTCAGAACCAGGTATATTGCCTCCAAATTAAAATAAAAAATTATTTGGCTTGTACAGTATTTACTTCACTGATCTCCCCAGCATTAAAGCAAGTGTGTGCAGCACCCACCTGAGATTTTAAAGAATAAGCTTTCACCCACCTGAAAAATCCATTTGCACCAACTAGAAAATGAGAAAAATCATGAAAAATTGGCATATTTTGACCAATTTTGGTCTGAATTGAGAATTTAAAATTTTCCACCCACTTGAGAAAAAATCCTGTGGAGATCACTGTACTTATTAGATTATATAGTTTTATATATTGATACTAACCCCTAGCATGTTTTTAACCCTTTTTATTGTGCATTTTTCTTACAGTAGGAACATAGCAAATCAGTTAAGAAGGTACCCAGTCAAACATAGTAATTTTAAACATAAACACAGGGACCTACCTGTTATGTTGAGGTACATTGTATCAAAATGTGTTGTACTTTAAGGCATTGTACCAATATGTATCACATTGCATGGTACCAAAGTGCATGGTACCAAAAGGCATGTACCAACAACTGCATGTATTAACCTTAAGCTTTTGGTCATTGTACTTCAGTATTATGGGTGGATCCCGAATATCAGGTAACGTTGCCTGATTGGTGGAGGTCCTGTTGCCCTAGAGAGGAACCCATGTAGATAATATTCTCACACACTCCAGTATTTTAAATCTCCCATTAATTTTTCACTCATTTGCTCTACAATGGCTGCACGGCGGCTGTAGCTTCACAAAATTGATATAGAAAATCTATGTCATAGGACTTATCTCTGTTTTAATGCTCCATAAATCTCTCAATTTTGGGGAGCTGCGGCCACATTGAAGTTGCACAAAATCCTTCTTTACAAAGCTTTTTGTCAAAATGAAAGATTGCATTCTGGGATGCCTTTGACATTCTCCAAATGTCATGTTTTGCATCAATTGTCATCTTGTTAATAAAGATAAATGTTGGATATCCTGCATCTGGAGGAGGGGCTTGCATGAATGTGCATTTAGTTCATTGGTTCAATAATCTTATATTTCTCATTTTCATGGGCACTTTGCATAGAAAGAGGTATTTGTAAATCAAAAAGGGACAACAGATTTAATTTTAAAAACCTTTTTCATGTCAAAGAATATGCATTTGCTTGGCAAAAATTACGGTAGTTAAAATTATATTCACATGAACACTTACAGCAATGGCAAGGGGCTTGTGTTGCTCTGTTTTTTCAGAAAAAAACTGCTTTTTAATTTGCTTTTTCAGGTGATAATCTGTTCTCTTATATACAGGTTGTTCCGGAATTTTAATTAAAATATTTTGAATTTGGTTCTCCAAACCGAAAATCATCCTTTGCAGGGATTATAGTTTTAACATATTTTGATTAAATATCTGGAACAACCTGTATATAAGATTGATAAGAATAACAGATTAACACATATAAAAATGGACATATATTAAATATTATATGCAGATAAATTTGGTTCTCCAAACTGAAAATCATCCTTTTATGGAATCAATGAACAAATAAAAAAAGTTATGACATAATATTATCCTATTTCCTGAACACCCTGTAACTTTAGTCTTACTCCACCTGTAAATCAAGCATTTGGATTACATGAAGGTTATAAATGAGAATGCCTGAACTTCATTTTTGAAACTCAAGACATGAATTGAGTGTATATGAGGTCTGTTTTCTCAATATTTTTACTCTACTAATGACCATGATTTGCAGCATTTGGATTTCAGTTTGAAAACATTAATTAGTAAACTTTCCAAGCTCAAATATGGCCCATGTACTCCAAGTCAGTTTGATCATTCTTAATAATGCTCATTACACTCATGTATACTCCAGCTACGACCTCTACCACCCTACCAAGGAAGTCATCAGACTGGAACAGGACATTTTCGCCCCACTTGCTGGGACTGGCGAACTCTATGTCTACTTTACCACAAGGTTCTGGAGTCAAATCAAGTCAGCAGGGTAAGTATGTTGCAACTGTATTATCAAAAACAAAAATACCAACCTTTAACCTGATCACCACTCATGCAATGTGTTGTTTTTAAACCCCATTTGTAATCGAGCAAAGATAACTATATTGAAGAATCTCAAAATATAGACATTTGCCGATTTGAGCATTTTGGCCATTTGGATTAGACAGGTTTTACTGTAAACTAACATGTTTTACATGTACTGGTTCATTCCAAGGTATTTTGCACTACATTCTGTGAACTGAATTTTACATACATATACAGTTCATATACCATTCAATAACATACAGCATTGCCGCTGATCTGTGTAACATTGGATGTACAAACATATACAGTTCATATACCATTCAATAACATACAGCATTGCCGCTGATCTGTGTAACATTGGATGTACAAACATATACAGTTCATATACCATTCAATAACATACAGCATTGCCGCTGATCTGTGTAACATTGGATGTACAAACATATACAGTTCATATACCATTCAATAACATACAGCATTGCCGCTGATCTGTGTAACATTGGATGTACAAACATATACAGTTCATATACCATTCAATAACATACAGCATTGCCGCTGATCTGTGTAACATTGGATGTACAAACATATACAGTTCATATACCATTCAATAACATACAGCATTGCCGCTGATCTGTGTAACATTGGATGTACAAACATATACAGTTCATATACCATTCAATAACATACAGCATTGCCGCTGATCTGTGTAACATTGGATGTACAAACATATACAGTTCATATACCATTCAATAACATACAGCATTGCCGCTGATCTGTGTAACATTGGATGTACAAACATATACAGTTCATATACCATTCAATAACATACAGCATTGCCGCTGATCTGTGTAACATTGGATGTACAAACATATACAGTTCATATACCATTCAATAACATACAGCATTGCCGCTGATCTGTGTAACATTGGATGTACAAACATATACAGTTCATATACCATTCAATAACATACAGCATTGCCGCTGATCTGTGTAACATTGGATGTACAAACATATACAGTTCATATACCATTCAATAACATACAGCATTGCCGCTGATCTGTGTAACATTGGATGTACAAACATATACAGTTCATATACCATTCAATAACATACAGCATTGCCGCTGATCTGCGTAACATGGATGTACCAACAGATTTCACTTATGCACCAATCAGTGCAACGATCGTTTCTCCCAGCACACCGAATGGTGCACCAAATCAGATGCGCCAATGCACCATAGATGTACCATAATTAAATTTTGCGCCAAGATGCAAAAGTATCAGACCTTGGGTCACTTAGGTGTGGACTGTACTGGAAAAGAGAATTTATCGAAACTAGATCAAACCTTTTGATAATCATTGATGAATCATATATTGCAGTGCTGCCATCTATGCAAACAGACATTACTTAAACATCTATCATCGTACTCACCCAGACAGACTGTCCAATAATGGCGAGAAAAAACCAAAGATTGTAGGCGATGTGTTTATTCATCCCACTGCAGTAGTGCATCACTCAGCAACAGTAAGTCGATAGTTTCCATTTATTCTTATCGAACTCAATATGTATTGTCGAATTTTGCTATAAAATTATCTTCCCAAAATGATTAATGTGTCTTACATGTATTTAGGACTCACTCTATCCATATTGTACTTTTATTTCTTTGTGTAGATATCAGGGCTTATGCAACTGAAAATGTAAGCCAATATGCAATTTGGAATTTTGGGAATTTTTTGTGTGAACATGTTCAAAAATTAATTGAACTTTGATGTGTCTCTTACACTGACATCTGTTTTTGGTATGAGTGTAAATTACGAAAATTTCTCAGAAAACCAATCTGTAAAACATTGACTTAAGACAAAATCAGAAATACAGTAGATGGCTTCAAAAATGGACCCCTGAAGATAAAGATTATTTTATTTCCAGTTAGGTCCCAATGTAACTGTGGGGAAGAATGTGACAATTGGTGCAGGGGTCCGCGTCAGAGAATCCATGATTCTGGAAGGCTCAGTCTTGGAGGTGAGTTCAAATTCAAGAGTCAGAATATGAGGAAATTGTTGGCTGATAGGCATGCACTAACAGTAGTTAAAAAATTCAAACTGTACAAAACATACATATATATTAACATAACATGCGCATTATTAACATGACATGTACAATATTAACATGACATGTACAATATTAACATGACATGTACAATATTAACATAACATGTACAATATTAACATAACATATACAATATTAATGTGACATTAATAGCAGAGGAGTACCCCAGAATTCTAAAAGGTGCACCTCTAAATGTTGTCAATAGATGGAGCTTCTAATTCTCAAATATTTATTATTGCATGGAAAGGGGTTTAGGACCACTGCTGTACCTTGTAAAGTATTATTGCATGGAATGAAGTTGTAAGAAACTCGGCTAGAGTTTAGAGAACGTTGAATGACCCTAACCCAAACAAACCAGATTTTGCTATTCATGTCATATTGTTCCTATTTTTCAGGACCATTGCTGTATCTTGTACAGTATTATTGCATGGAATGGGGTTGTAGGAAACTGGGCTAGAGTTGAAGGAACTCCCAATGACCCTAACCCAAACAAGCCATTTGCTAAACTTGACATTCCTGAGTTGTTCTCTGATGAGGGTAAACTCAGTCCTTCTATTACTGTGATAGGTTAGTATGCTTGGAATATATGAAGATTTTTAGTTATGCTACCGAAAATGGTCACATATTGTTATAGCCTCCTAACTTTTTTGTGACCTGTATTTGGCAATCAGCATCTGAAACAGCGTTTGGCATCTCTAACAATGTTCTCATTGACAATTTTTTTACATTTTTCCTTGGGTGATATAATTTTAAGATTGTACCGTAGAAACGATTTTCAATATATGTATAGAATAATACACAAAATAAAAAAATTATATGAATTCTAAAATGTTGCTCAAAATATTACAAAATTCTTAAAGGTTGCGCAAAAAGTCAATAATTTTTTCGACCCCAAAATAGACTGGGAGATCACAAATGCAGGTTTAACTGTACATCTTATTCAACACATATAGACTCAATCTAACCCCTATAAAACAACACAATATTAATCTATTTCCAGGTTCCAATGTGCATATACCAGGAGAGGTTATTGTCCTCAATTCAGTAGTCCTCCCTCACAAGGAGCTAGGAAGAAGCTGTAAGAACCAAATCATGCTCTAGAATTTTCTAGAACATGCTCTAGAATTTTCTATAACATTCTTTGTGGTGGTCAGTTTTCAAGGCAGCGTAGTGAAATAAGAAGAATCATGAAGAAGAAGGTTGGACTGGAATTATTTAAGGACATTGGACATTTTTGAAATATAATTGAGGCGTGACATAACAAATAGGACTAAATCAACTTTGATTTCACATAAAATGATGCTCAGATTGTAAAAAAGAAACCAATACAATTTATGAGATGTGGAAATAATGGTCTAGTGTATTCCTCAAAGCATATTACAATCATAATGATTGTATAATTATATCAACCCTGGGGGTCTTTAGTAGAGCCTGTCTAATCATGGACGTATATCAACGTCCATGGTCTAATTGATGATTTGCGATCACCGAATGGATTCTATCTTTTAGTGACGTCACAATTAGGCCATCCAGCTTTAGATGCTTGGTTTTGAGAGTTTAACTTCTATATTTCGTGCTTTATTGATTTATTTTTCACGAAAGCGTTCGATTTGACTAGATCAACATTCATCCTAAGCACATACCAAGTCTAAGATCGTACTGACATGATTTAGATAGCGGTTAAGCGCCCCCCGATTTTGACAAAAAACGGGGGGCGCTTATAGGCATCGATGTTTAGTATGAATTTCACCCAAACTTCGCACATATATAGATATACTCATGATCTAGTCAAATCGGCATACCTGGTAAATATCCGACCCATGGTTTTCATAGAAGAAACGACAATATTTTTAGCTCAAAACTGCCACGTGTCCGCCATTTTGTGATTCCATCATGTCTAATATCATTTCTGTATGACGTCACATCAATAAGACGAAATACGTGACAACAGTATCCATAAACAAAATTCCTGGATTCAGATCGCAAAAGGTCAATTGAAACACCACTGTGACTGACGAGTAGTGTTCAGATCGGCAAATGTTCACATTCTGAAGCTGTTAAAGAAGATTAAAAAATTGGGATTGAAAATTGTTCATTTGAAAGGTGTGTGAATGAAAATTTGCAATGGAATCTCGTATTGCTGTTTGTAAACTGCCAGATAGCTTTAAAGGATGTGTCCGGGTATATGCCCTTTTGGTCCCTCAGTCAAATGTATGTTAAATATGTTTTTTATTACTGTCCTAGTTATATTTGATAAGTATATTTACTTTTTCACGAGTTTTGATGCATAATTAACCCCCTGCTGAGAGTCAGAATAAGTATCTTAACAAAAAAAGTAGTCATTATTATAGAAAAAAACATCAATGGCAACATGTATGACTTACAAAGAAGAAATAACTTAAGACCCATGAAGAATTTAAATGAAAATGATATTTTTGAAATATATTTAAGGATTAAAATTTTTTTCAAATTTTTGAATTTCCCGCCAGTTTAATTTGTAGGGGGAAAAACAAGATGGCTGCCATTTGATGTAAGAAATATCAGAAAAAAAGTTGCTTCACTTTTAGTTTTCACAATGAGCACAGTTTTCCGGTTTAGGTTTTTTGACTGATTCTGACTCTTCATCACCAGGGTCATGTATAGAGATTATAAAATTGAACCCCAAATGTTGTGCTCAGCATGAATTTGACTGAAATATGTGTAACTTCACCAACACAATTGAAGTCTCAAAACTGGATGCTCAGTACATTTGAGTGACTATAATCCCTTGATTACCCAGATAAACACCAATTCACTTATCCAGAAATGCCATTCAATGTCTATACAAAGAAAGTAAGCAATGTTTTGGAGGATATGTTTCAAACCTTTTGCATAAATAATTCATTTAATATTTGCCATTGATTTTTTTTCAATTCTGACAAAGTGATATGCACTGTCTTTGATGCCAATATTCTTCATTAATTGTGATACAAATTGATATTTTTGTACTCTCAGAAGAAGGATAAGATATTGAAGTTTAATAATATGTGTGATTGAGTTGGTTTTTCAGACATTACAATTTTCAATATTTTCTAAGTCGATACCCAGACTCATTCCCAGACACATCCTTTACATGCTCTTTGCACTACATGTATACACCAAGCAGTTTTCCAGTTGACTTGTTGATGCACAATGTCTCAGTATAAGTATAAGGTGGCTGACCGAGTCTAATTTGTGTCATAATAATCCAGATTTCAATGGGCCTTACCTATGACTACACATTTTTTATTTGACTCAAGATTACAATCTCGAGTCCATTGCTCTTTTGTTTTGCTAATTTGTAAATTGGGGAGTTTAAGGTCAAATATGTTATTGAAGTATGTGAACTTTTAATCCCATACTTGGACATGTCGAAGGTACTTAAAGCAGTATATATCTTGTACCTAACAGAGGATAATCTAGGATAATCTATATAACAGCTGACATTGTACAACGGTGCAGAACAGTAAAGTTAAATTGTAAATATAGATCAAATATGTGTCACATTTAAGAGTGATACGCTTTCATATGTTCAAATGGCACATCTACATGTACAACATCTTTGATTCAGAGTTTAGAAAATATCTTCAAGTGTAAATACATGCATTAAACTATAAAACGTAGACCTAGTCTATACAAAAATTCCAAAACCTTAAGTATTATGCACATTTTCTTAATTAAGGTTCAAAATATTTCAAAACCATTGAATATGTGATAGAAGTATGTATCATTTTAAAGAAAATGTGCTTATTATTTCAGCATATGGAAAGCAACCCTTGTGATATTTGGATAGGTACAAAGCATTGATTTGATTATATATTACTATATGTATATAGAAGGGTGGAAAATCAACTTAAAAAATATATTTATATAAATAAAATATGTCGTCTTTGTTCATTTTACTTTATAAATATGTGGATGACATTTAAAAAATCATTAGGCCTAATGCATGATTAATTAAAAACCCTTTATTCAATAAAAACCCTGCACCATAACTGCAGCAGAAGAGCATTTTTACATGACTTATTGCGTGGACCTTACTAGGTAAATCTACAATTTGTGTAGTGAAAACAAAGACTTTCCAAACGAAATGGCTTTATTTTGGATGAGAATCGTGTTATTGTCATTTCCTGTTCAGCTTATCAATAATGCATTAATCCGCACCATTCGCTCATTCATGCCGCACCCAATATTTCTCACAAGCTCCGTCTGTATAGGGTGACATAACAATCAGTGAAACACACTTTCCACCACGAAACATCAGCAATTAGAGGGATCTAGTAATTAATAAGAATTAATAGACAAGTGATTTCATTCAGGATTGCTTTAACACTGGTTCGTTTTGGTAACAAAATGTCGGAACATCGAAGGTACGATTTTTCTTTTTTCCTTATTTCACGCGTTGTAGGCAGAATCCCCACGACGTTTTTTCTCACAAACGTATATCAGTATCATATGTTTTAGAAAATGTTCATGTTTGCGAAAAATTAGCTCAGAAGACAACAGAATCGTCGATTTAATTCCTCACTTAAGTTACAGAAACGGTTTGGGTTAAAAGTGCAGGATCTTAACTGTTTTTCGAAAAACTGTTTATGTAACTTAAGTGGAAGAATTAAAGGTTGGATAAATAGTGCAGAGACGTATCCAACGATCATGGACCTGGTGTCAAAATATATCGAAGTTTGGATATTTCATCAAGACTAACATCTATTTTCATTAGCTACCAAGAAAACCCCCGAACCTACCAAATGTCTGCCGATATTCACAATCATTATCATCCTAAATCCCCGAGAATCTTCTTCCGAAACCAATAATCATGGACAGAAAAAGCGCTCATGTACCTTTTAATCATTTCCCGGTGATATTCACAGCAAAAAATGTGTACGAATACAACGAATCCTGACGTCAGGATACATACAGGATATGCACCCAGTGTGCCAAACCTGTGTGAATCCTGATGCCTGGATACATACAGGATTGGCACCGAATGTACATATCCTGTACATATCCTGTGTCAGGATTTATACAGGATTGGCGCGTGTAGGAATCCAGTATGAATCCTGCATCTGGATTCATACAAGATACGCTCGCAGTGTGCCAATCCTGTATAACTCCTGATGCCTGGATACATACAGGATTGGCACACAATGTACATATCCTGTTCATATCCTGGGTCAGGATTTATACAGGATTGGCGCGTGTAGGAATCCAGTATGAATCCTGCATCTGGATTCATACAGGATACGCTCGCAGTTTGCCAATCCTGTATGAATCCTGACGCCTGGATACATACAGGATTGGCACACAATGTACATATCCTGTACGTATCCAGGCGTCAGGATTTATACAGGATTGGAGCAGGTAGAAATCCAGTATGAATCCTGCCTCCTGGATTCATACAGGATACGCTCGCAGTGTGCCAATCCTGTATGAATCCTGACGCCTGGATACATACAGGATTGGCACACTGTGTGCATATCCCGGATTACATATCCTGCACATAATTTACAAATTATTGATTGCTATTGTTACTAAAATTTATTACAAAATCCATGTTAATTTGATAAAAAAAACAATATTTCAATTTTTTTCAATCAAATAAATAATCTACTTTCAAAAGTACCTGTACTAGTATCCAAAAGTGAATTTCAATAAAATAAGAATGAACATTTTGCCATTATTCACAATTATTTTTTCCCTGGACTATTGTGATTTGATATTTGATGCTTAAGAAGCTATAGAAGACAAATAGTATATATACAGGGTGACCGGAAAAAAAGGAGACCATTGAAATAGGCAATATTTTCTAAAATATACAAGTATCATCAATGAAATTTTGAACAGTCCAGGACAATTCTATGGAAATTTGTTCCTGAAAGTTTCAATAACATTTGTTTACTGGTTCAGGAGCTGTCATCATTTAGAGTACATGCTCCAAATGGCCACCATTGAGCCTGAGGCACAGCTGGATTCGTCTGGCAAAATTGTCAATTGCGCTAACACATTCAGCTCTTGTAATGGCATTACACTTGGCAGTTATTGCCCTCTTAAGGTCACCAGTTGTCTGGGGGTTGTTTTCGTATACATGATCTTTCAAAAAGCCCCATAGGTAGAAATCGGGGGGATTCAAGTCTGGGCTGTGTGGAGACCAGGGGTTATCTGATCTACGGCTAACGATCCTGTTTTCAAAGTGTTGGTTTAGCCAATCTAGTGAGTCATTTGAGGTATGGGGAGTCGCACCATCTTGCTGGAACCACTGTATGGCACGATTAACTCTCCTACGGCGACCAAGGGCTGCCCAAAACTTCCTTAGGATGATAATGTAACGCTCTGTGTTGACTGTTTGAGGCTTTTCGTCATTATCTTCGAACCAATAAGGACCAATTATTCCGTGTTTAGAAATCGCAACCCAGGCAGTGACC